GCAAATATGACCATGTTTGCCAATCTCCTAACAAGTAAGAATAAAAAAATCGTTTGCCCACCTCTTAAAACAGGCATTTTTAACATAAACCGGGGTAAAAAATGATATTTTAAAAGACTTCTGCTCAGCCAAGCGCGCAGAATCTGTAAAATTCGTGCGTTTGAAATGTTTTTATTTTATTTTACTGGAATCACTTGTTATCAGGCCAAGTTGATTGAAGTTTGACATAAAATTTAACCATATGGTTTCTTTTCGCTTTCATAAAAAATTAGAGAATAAATTTATGGAATATTCGGGCAGAAACAATTTTGTTTCGCCAACATCTGGTTTATGTCAAATTATAATCATGTTAAGAAATCTATACGCACATGGCGCGGTTTTTATAAAAGCGAAAAAGAAACCATAACAAACCATAACTGATAACAAGTGATTCCAGTTAAATAAAGCACTTTACAAACACCAAAGTTGTGGCATTTCCGATCGTTCAGTCATATGGCAGCTATATGATACAGTCGCCCGATCCGGCTCGTTCCGACTTATATACTACCTGCAATAGAAAGACAACTTTTGGGAAAGTTTCAAGCAAATAGCTTTAAAACTGAGGGACAGACGGACGGACAGACGGACATGGCTAGATCGACTTTCCTGGTGTTGCTGATCAAGAATTTATATACTTTATAGGGTCGGAAATGTTTCCTTCACTGCGTTGCAAGCTTTTGATTCAAAATTATAATATCCTCTGCAAGGGTATAAAAACAAGAAATTCGCCTTATTTTTGTATTCAAAGGCATCGCACCTTAAATTATACCCTTGCAGAGGGTATTATAATTTTGGCCGACTATATCCTATAGCTGCCATATAACTGATTGATCGGAAATGCCATAACTTTGATGTTTGTAAAGTTAGGAAGCTGGGATTTTCTATGGGTTTTATTTTTGGCCAATCAATCCGACCTATTAAATTTCATAAGGATCGGCCGACTATATCCTATAGCTGCCATATAACTGATTGATCGGAAATGCCGTAACTTTGGTGTTTGTTAAGTTAGGATGTTGGGATTTTCTATGGGTTTTATTTTTGGACAATCAATCCGACCTATTAAATTTCATAAGGATCGGCCGACTATATCCTATAGCTGCCATATAACTGAACGATTGGAAATGCCATAACTTTGGTGTTTTTAAAGTTAGGAAGTTGGGATTTTTTATGAGTATTAAGAATGCATCATATGAATAATTTTGGAGAATATAATGTACATAATATTCTGCAAGGGTATATCAACTTCGGCTCCGCCCGAAGTTAGCTTTCCTTTCTTGTTTTAAACTCTTTTCGACCCACTTTGCTTTGGAGTTGTGAGGCAGTGAATGCTTGGCACAATGACTCCGTTGGCAAAAGACGGTAAGAAATTTGTGTAACATTGAAGTAAAAAATAATACTTTTGCATAATATTTGAAGGTATGCAATTATTCAAAGAATGAGATAGATGTTACTGACTCTGAAAACATCTCGTATACTGTACCTCATGTACCTTCCGTTCTTTACTTTCAGTAAGTTTTTATTTTACTCAAAATATGATTACATTTATTTTTAAATAAGTCAGAGATGTTTGAATATCGATTATTAAAACTTTATTTATATAATAACTACATATTTAATTTTATATTTTTTATAGAAGTCACTTTGCCAGTATGAAAGAAGAAAATTTTCCGTATACGAATGCGGACTATGAACTATCGTGGAATTTTGTGAGCAACTTCGTTTTTATTTGGGCGATGATTGCATTTATTTTTTATAAGTTCCCGGAGGCGGCCAAGTTTGGAAAATTGATACGTTACATGGTTATTGGGACCGTGGCTCTTCTTTTAGTATGCTTTGTCCGCTTTCTGTTTCTTCCAGGAGCAATTGCAGGGTTAACAAGATTTATGACTCCAAAGGCATCTCATATGGCAATGGGAATTTCCTCTACGTTTATAATGGTACTACATGCGTTTGGAGCCGGCTGGGGTTCAAGACTAACATCATGTCCTACAGTTGGATTATTTCCTTCGGACAGATTTTCATTTACATTATGTTTGGAATGGTTTCTTTTATGCTGGAGCATTACTACAAAGGTAACAACTGTCGATTATTTTGCCTTTTTTGATCCCTGTTTTCTCGTCCTCGTGGTATGTGTTTTTTTAGCTTACTACTTTTTGCTTACTGTAGCGGACGAAAAAAAGAGTCAGTGTATTATAAATAAATCAAATTAATATATTATTTTCAGGTTTCTCAGAAGATTCTTATAACACTTATGTAATAGACAGTTGGCTGTTGTATGTGTCAAGTGCTTCTGCCTTGTCCTCAATGAATTGGTCGAATCTGTGGACTATTATTTACTACACTATGTTATTAATGGCTGTTCTTATTGTAATGGTGGGTGTGATTGTGATAGAAAATATCATAATTTCTACATATATATTCCATTGCAGACGACGCAAATCTTCACTATCATACAAAGTTTGTTTGATGAATTTGAGAATCTTAGAACAAGAAAGCAGGAGGTAACATTTGGCCTAATTGGCGGCCTGACTGTCTGCTCCTTTTTCTTTTGCACAAATGTAAGTATAAAGCTTGTAGGAATCTCCAAAAATTAAAAATAATGTTTTAGCATATATAAAAGATTCTCAAAAACAATAAAATTAAAGATTTATTTTTTTACCTCATTTCGTATTTATGAAAGTATATTTTCTTCTTTATTTTTCAGCACGGTATTAGTTCCTTTTCGGCCTTGAGTCTTGATGCTATTTTCTCTCACAGTCTGCTACATTTACTGCTCCTTTTGGTGGTTTTGTGGATTTACGGCAGAGAACGATTTCAGCGCGATATTGAGTTTATGTTGGGTCAGCCATTTGCCTCATGGAAGATTTTTATACTTCGCTTCATAGCTCCATTGTTTTTATTGATTTATCTGGTTTGTAATAGATACAAAATTCTGTATAGTTTTCGATAAGCCTTAAATTTGTTTTTTCCCTACTAGGTTGCAGGAGCATTGGCGGCCGTAATGGAGCACTTTTTCTCCGTAGTATCGGTCCTCATTATATCCATTTTACTGGTGGGATTACCAATTCTGGCAATACCTGGCTACGGATTTTACTACCTTTACCAGAACACGGGCACCTTTTGGGCACGGTTTAGACGCACTTGTCGACCCACCGATTGGTATCCGGTTGAGATGGAGCAGCGCCAGAAGTACGAGTTAGACGTCGGCAACTCTGATATTACCCATATTATTCTTGGGGTCACGGAGGAGGTTAACTAAGTGGCGGTACAATTACGAATGTACTTCTTGTCAGGGAACTATCTTATAATGCGTGTAATTGGATTGATCTGATCATTAACAAGAAAGGAAAGCTAACTTCGGGCGTTGATTTTTTAATGGAGTTGTACTGATATTTTCCAAATGTTAGCTATAGTGAACTATAAACTATACTACTAAATAAGTAGTTGCCTACTAAAAAGTTGAACAAGCTTCGGCCAAAAAATATTGTTACGAATTAATAAAGTTTTACCTTTCAGCTATGTACTTGACTGTCTAATCTGTTTCATGGGTGAAAAACTGGTTTGGTTTAATGGCTTTTAATAATTTAATTATTTGACACTCACTAAAAACTCAGAGTACAAATCTTCTATACAAAATGTACCAGCACTATCAAGCATTGGGCGGAATTGCCTATTAAAATTTGTAAATCAATTTGGTTTGGTACTTAACCTTAACTAAATTAATTTGAACAACTAATGTAGCTTTTTCGAGCTTCTGAATTAATGATTAAATATACTTCTTTATATATAGATTCAAATTTGTAGTTCACTTCTGTTATCTGCTCAAACTCAAAAGTGGTTTCCCAAAAATTAGAAAGTTTTCCAAGGCTATCTCACACAGATAATGATTCAAATACAAATAAATTAAATATATATTGTTTTAATAGCAATATCAAATTTGAATTTTTATAATCTTCCTGAGGGATTATTCCGTCAACGCAGTGACCCTAAAAATATATTCAGGCGAGTCGATCCTACCATGTCCGTCTGTCTGTTTCTACGCAATCTTGTCAATCAGTTTTAAAGGTACTGGAAACATTGCAAAAAGTTATTTTTTCTGTGCAGGTAGTGTATAAGTGGGTACGGTTCGGATCGGCCAACTGCATCATATATCTCCCAACAATCCGGAAATAAAATTATAACGTAGTTGTTTCTTAACATATACCATTATACTCAAAAATAAAAATGACTATTTAAAGATTTCAGAATTACGTTTTTTGACTATGTCATATATATTATTAATTTTTGTACCAGTTGCGGGGTATATAAACTTCAGCTTGCCGAAGTCTGCTTCCTTTTTTGTTTAAAGTGATCGGTTTTACCAACTTTAAAAGTAAAGCTTTAAATCAAATAGGCAGGAAAACAGCAGAAAAATGTAAGTTTATTTTACTTATTTTATTAGTTAATCAACGTTTAATTAAAATACACAGGAAAATAATAAATGTTTTCACTTCGTTTTACATTGCTCATTGAGGTTTTCCCGGCTTCGATGACGTTGCTGTTGTTTGTCTGCCCACTTTCCAAGCACGAAAATATCAATTTCAAGTTCCCGCATCGAAACAAAAATGATAATGCACAACGACAGACAGACACAAGTGAGACAGTCACAAATTTAAGAGGACTGATAATGTAAATTTAACATACAATAACAGAGAATATACGTTATGGTCGGAGATGGAAATACCCTTAAGAATTTTGTGTTATCATTGTGAAATATATATTTTTTTATAACTGTTATCTATATAGGCCAAAAGGAAATGTCAGTTAAACTCATCTTAAGCTTTTATATATATATGTTTTTTAATATTTAATATTTAAATACGGTTGGAATGTACATATGATGTACATAAAAAGAGAATTACATAGTATGAGTTGTTTGTGAAATTGCATAGGCATCTCTGTCCAGTAGAACAATCTAAGCAGAAGCCTGCGGTCGCAATCGGATTCAGTTCGCCGGCATCGGTTCGACTAATTAGTCCGTCAATTTAAAGCAAAGCGCTCGCGGATCGTTTGCCGTTCACAAGATAATATTATAATAATACCCTTATCCGCGTGTAAGGTCGGACATTGTTTGCATATAAAAAACTAGTGCTGGCATTGCAACATGGTGTATGAAACATCATATGGCAGCGGCCTAAAGCCCTTTACTCCCGATCCAAGTCGAGGGAGCTGGGAAAACCCCACGGACTATATCTTTGCCTGTTTTGGATTATCTTTGAAACTGGATGTCTTTGTGGCCTCATATTGGTTCTTTTTCGACATGGGCCGTAAGTAATGGAAACACCGGTCGCTGGACGTATACTATAGGGCAGATAAACTCGGGGTTGTCTAATCTTTTTAGGGGCGTTGCGCTGCTAACCTACAGATCTGGTGAACAATTCTCATTCTCCTGCGTTTTACTTGATTTCAGCTTATAATAATTGGAATACTAATATATTTTATAGAGATTTAATGGAACGCAAAAGGTTAAAAAGAATTTATTTTAATATCAGATTGCTGTCTTGGACAATATTTTTCTTCAAATTTCGTTTAGGGCCAAAAGTACAAATATTTAAATTTTTTTCATTTTTAGTTTTTGGAATGCTACCGTACTTTGTTTATATGGTGATCTACTTGGTTCCAATCATGGTCATTCACTCGTTTATGGGTCAGTTCTCTAGCACTGGCTTTATCTCAGCCTTTCGTCTCTCTCCTTTCTTTAAAGGTAAGTAACCGATGTAGTTAAAGAGAGATAATATTAAAATGTATATCAATTTGAATTTAAGGCATGGGATATGTGAGTTTATTCCTAACCATCGCGATGCTAATTTACTATGCTATTTTTGCTGCTGTACCGCTTCTCTTCATCTTAAACTCTTTTCGACCCACTTTGCCTTGGAGTTGTGAAGCAGTGAATGCTTGGCACAATGACTCCGCTGGGCAAAAGACGGTAAGAAATTTGTGTAACATTGAAGTAAAAAATATTACATTTGCATAATATTTGAAGGTATGCAATTATTCAAAGAATGAGGTAGACGTTACTGACTCTGAAAACATCTCGTATACTGTACTTCATGTACCTTCCGTTCTTTACTTTCAGTAAGTTTTTATTTTACTCAAAATATGATTACATTTATTTTTAAATAAGTCAGAGTTGTTTGAATATCGATTATTGATGGTGAATAGATCACGCTAAAATGGTTTGTAAGACCACCTTCAAATTGGGTTGATAGAATATTAGTCAATTAGTTCACAATAGGAATATACGCTTTTATTTCACATGTTGACAGCTCGTGGTCAGGAAGAAGAGAGAGAGACCGATAACAAAGTGAGACCAGACCATCTCAGAAAAGAATATCTTACATGCTATTGAATATACCAAATTATTATAATTAGTTATGAGGTTCCTCAACATCCCGGCCCACCCTGAAACTAAGTTCTGAATTAGGCAGGATGGCAATTTTAGAAATGGGTCTAACAAGTTCTCCTGATGAAGTTCGCAGCTTTACGGCCCGTACCAGCCCGTCCTTGCCTGGGTAGACTTCAATTATGCGCGCCAAAGTCCAAGCGGCGGGGGGTGTGTTTGAATCCTTGATGATCGCCATATCCCCAATAGCAATGTTCTTCCTTTCTGTATTCCACTTAGGGCGCTGTTGAAGTGTAGTGAGGTACTCCTGATGCCATCTCTTCCAAAAGCCTTGTAGCATTGCCTGTACATTTTGCCAGTAATCCAGTCGGTTAACTGCTATGTGGCCAAGATCGCCCTCTGGAACTGATGTATAAGGGCGTCCAATTAGCAGGTGTGCCGGTGACAAGTAGGAAACTTCGATGTCTGACGTAGCGAAGAGAGGGCGTGAATTGACGACGGATTCAATTTGAGCCAGAAGGGTGTGCATTTGCTCAAATGTGAGGATAGAATTCCCGATGACACGACGCAGATGAAGCTTTACGGAGCGAACAGCTGATTCCCATTTTCCGCCCCAGTGGGGTGCGTGCGGTGGTATAAAACTCCATTTGATACCCTCACTGGCCAACGCTTGGGTTACTTGAGTGTTATGCTGCTGCGACAGGATGAGCTTATACATTTCGTCTAACACCTTCTTTGCTCCCACAAAGTTGCGACCGTTGTCGCTGAAGATGTGGGTACACTTGCCTCGACGGGAGATAAAACGACGAAGTGCAGCGAGAAATGTCTCCGTGCTGAGATCTGTAGCCAACTCCAAGTGGATTGCGGAGGTCACTAGGCAGACGAATAGACAAATGTATCCCTTTTCCTTTCGTGGATTCCGTCCCTTGTGCACCTTGAGTAGAAGCGGTCCGGCATAGTCGCACCCAGTATTTTCAAATGGGTATGCTTGACGTACCCGAACGGCTGGCAAGTCAGCCATGTATTGATCAGTTGTTTTGTGGCGTTGGCGAAAACATTTGAGACAAGCATGTGTAAGCTTGCGAATCATGTTGCGTGCGCCAACTATCCAATATTGTTGGCGAACGATGACGAAAAGTGCTGTCACACCTGGATGAAGATGTATCCTGTGCTCGTGTTCCAAAATTAGCAGAGAAATGCGATGATGTTTCGGCAGAATAATTGGATGCTTGACTTCCTCCGGTAGTAGCGAGTTTGAGAGGCGCCCACCTACACGAAGCAGGCCATTCTTGCAAACCATGGGTGAGAGTGTTCGAAGTGTTGACGAATTTGCAACAGCTTTTCCCCTTTGCAACAGGTGTAGATCGGATGAGAAGCTTCCTTGAGCGTGCCTTAGACAATAAATGCGGGCCTCGCTGATTTCCTCAAACGTGAGTGTGAGGTTTGACGGAATCCGTTTCTTCATTCTTCGATGCATAAACCGTAAAACATAAGCAGTGCAGCGAATCAGCTTGGTCCAGGAAGAAACTCGAAACGATAGACACTCAATCGGGGACGCTTCAGGTTCAGGTTCAACACGGCTGGATAGTGAAGAGGATTTCAGCCCGTCCATTATGGGCGTGTCCAAAATTGTTGTGGGATTGTTGCCACTACGCAGCTTTGAAGCAAACAGATCGTTGAGGTGTAGCCAGTGTGGTCCATTCCACCACAGCTCATAGCTCATGAGATTGGCTGCTAGCATTCCCCTCGATGCGCAATCGGCAGGGTTATCCTTTGAGCCAACGTGATGCCATGCGCTGCGTGGTATGACATCCAGGATCTCCGAAGTACGGTTGGCGATAAAGGTTTTCAGCTTCGATGGGGTGTGCGACAGCCACGAAAGGACAATCGTGGAATCGCACCAAGCATGCACAACTATATCCTTGTGATGCAAGCCTTCTTTAACAGCCCGGAGAAGGCGAGTGAGCAATAGTGCACCACAGAGTTCCAGCCGTGGAAGACTTTGTTGCTTTAGTGGCGCAACGCGTGTTTTAGCTGCCATAAGGGACACCAAGCAGGTGCCGTCCGCGTTACTTACACGGCTGTAGACGACAGCGGAATATGCCTTTATAGATGCATCTGAAAATCCATGTAATTCGATTTTGTCCGATTCGTTGTGTACATAACGTGGAATCCTTAGGTTTGTTATGTAGTTGATATCGTCGCGACAGGTCTGCCACCACTCAGCCAGCTTCGGTGGGAGTTTGGAATCCCAGTCCAGGTCAAGTAGCCAGAGTTCTTGAAAAAGGATCTTGAACTGCACTACCACAGGCGCCAGAATACCTAAAGGATCAAAAATTCGTGAGACATCTGACAATACTTGCCGTTTAGTAGCATCTGGCTCCGTAGAAAGTGAAGCTTTGTAGGACAGGACGTCGTCTTGGGGATTCCATAGCATTCCTAAAACTTTAACCGCACTGGTTATCTGGAGCTCGTCTTGCCGGGTGTGGCTGATGACGCTGCTGTTAGACACCCATTTGCCAAGCTCAAGCTTAGCCTTGGACATCAACTGGATGAGTTCGTCGCGGCAGCTAAGTAGTTCGTCTTCAGTTTCAGCGCCGGTGAGGACATCGTCTACGTAAAAGTCCTCAAGCACAATTTTTGAGGCTGTGGGAAACTCATCGTGGTGGTCTCGCGCTAGTTGTTCCAGTACTCTGACAGCAAGAAACGGTGCACAGCTTGTTCCATAGGTGACTGTACAGAGTTGAAAGTGTTGAAGAGGATCTTTCGGAGCTTCTCTCCATACGATCCGTTGAAAGTTGCGGTGCTGAGGGGCAACCCAGATCTGGCGAAACATTTTAACTATGTCCGCCGAAAACACAAACTTGTGCATTCGAAAGCGAAGGCATACATGAAAAAGGTTGCGTTGTATGCTGGGTCCGATGTGTAAGGCGTCATTTAGAGCATGTCCGTTTACGTCTTCAAATGACCCGTCAAATACCACGCGCAGCTTCTTTCCTAGAACTGGGTGGTGTGGCATGTAAAATGTTTTGGCTGATGTGTTGCATTCTTCAGGGGCCAGCTTACGCATATGACCTAGGCTTAGATACTCGTTCATAAATTTTGAATATTGCTTGCGTAGCTCCAAATCACGCTGCAAGCGACGTTCCACAGCATAGAAGCGCGAGACAGCGCCCTGCAGGCTGTCTCCGAACTCTTGGCATTCGTGTTTAAAAGGCAATTCAACGATGTATTTGCCGTCTGGGTCTCGGGAATGTGTGGTCAGAAAGTGCTGCTCCACCTTTTCGTGCGAAGGGTCTCGTTGTGTATGCTCAGTGTTATCCTCGATCTCCCAAAAGCGTTGAAGAGAGGCGTTTATGTCAACAGTAGTCATGAGCGTGTTGGCGGTTGATGGATTCGGCATTGCAACGGAAGTGATTATCCATCCAAAGATTGAGCTGATGGCAATAATATTTCCAGCGGTGTCATATTTTTTATCACCTGACAAAACGGACCAAATTTGTTCGTTTCCCAGTAAAATGTCTACAGATGAAGATGTGTTAAACGAAGTATCAGCTAACTGGAGTCCATCGTAGATCCTTAAAGCTTTTTCGTCAATGTCGTCCCGCTGAAGTGATGATGTGATTTTGCCCAGCACATGGGCTGCGACAACAATCGTCTGGAGTGACACCATTGACTTGATATGCAGCGTTGCCAATCCTCTTGTAGTTTCGGCCTTGACGGAAGATATTCCGGAAACTAGTATTTTTGAGGGTGAACGTGCAAGCCCAAGTGCGTTGACGCATCGTTCAGAAACGTAGGATAGCTCAGAGCCGCTATCCAAAAGCACACGGCAAATTGTGTAAGTCCCTTTAGAGTTTTGGACATACACCAAAGCTGTGGGCAATGTGCTTCTTTTGAGTCCCGGTGACTGTGTTAATGAGCTGCTGTTTTGCGTCTGGGCGACCAAAGTTGAGCTACATCCAGAAGTTTGAGGACTGGCCTGTGCAGTGTCCGCAGGAGCAACTGTCATGGAATCCATGTTTTCAGGATGTACAAGAGAATGATGACGGCCATTGCAGTGCTTGCACGAATGTTTCGATTGACATTGTGAAGATCGGTGGCCAGGGCGTAGGCAATTGAAGCAAAGCGACTTTCCTTTCACAAAGGAGCGCCGATGTTCAGTGTTCAGATTTTGAAATTGAGAGCATCTATACAGCTGATGGTCAGCAGAGCCACACTTACCACAATTGCCACGGTTCACTGCAATAAGTGCGCGCTTCGCTTTGGCAGGCTTGTCCGTGTGGCTGCCAGGATCGAGTTTGATTGCCGATGTAGCTTGGCTTAATTCAAAATCCTCGCAACGATCATCAAGGAATCTAAACAAGTCGGCAACGGTCGGTGTCGCTGAGCCTCTGGTGTCCTCAATCCACTTCCTTCTAGAGTCGGGATCAATTTTAGCCAGTACAAGATGAATCACCCAGCAGTCACGGCTGGTCTCCCCAACTGCATCTAGGCCACGAATGATTTCATTGGCGCCATCAGTAAGTTTGCGTAGATTAGACACCTCGCCGTTGGGTGCAGCAGCCAGTGCCATGAAAGTGTCCAGTAAGGAGTTCACGATATGCCTTGGGCGATCATAGCGATCATTGAGGCGTTCCCATGCTGAATCATAAGCTGATTCCGTAATGGACATGTGACTGAGAAGATTGGCCGCTTCACCAACTATGAAAGACTTAAGGTAGTGAAACTTCTGAATCTTTCCCAGGTGGGTCTTGTTGTGGACGGTGCTCTCGTAAATGTCCTTAAAGGCTGGCCATTCCTTGTAGTCTCCACCAAAGGGTTTGATGTGGATTTTCGGCAACGGGTTTTCAGTTAAACAAACTGCAGCAGGCGGCGGCGTGGCCAAGGTAGATGCTCCGTTCTCAGAAAGTCGCTGCAAGAACTCACTTTGCTGTTGCAGCAATATGGCCATGTTGTGATCCGCTTGAGGTATGGCGCTTGGCTGAAGGTCGCTCTTTAACGACGCGAATAAGGTAAGCGCGCGCAGGTACTTCTCCTCATAGGCTTGGAAATCTTCGGTAGGATCCTCGAAACCCTCCACATTATCGTACACGTGCATTTCGTCAGTGATCTCCTCAAGGCTTCTGAAGGCTTGATTTAGCCGGGCCAGCATGGCATCGACTCCGGAGTAAGTGCTCTGTGGAGGTGGATTCTCAATGTAATTGACCAAGCGAGTTACGGTCGCCTTTAGCCGACCACGTGCTTGGGTAAGGCGTTTAAGCGTCTGTTGCTCCATAGTGTGTAGATATATTTAAACAGTTTGTAGATGCGGAAGTAATCCGGCTCGAAGGACCAGACAATGATGGTGAATAGATCACGCTAAAATGGTTTGTAAGACCACCTTCAAATTGGGTTGATAGAATATTAGTCAATTAGTTCACAATAGGAATATACGCTTTTATTTCACATGTTGACAGCTCGTGGTCAGGAAGAAGAGAGAGAGACCGATAACAAAGTGAGACCAGACCATCTCAGAAAAGAATATCTTACATGCTATTGAATATACCAAATTATTATAATTAGTTATGAGGTTCCTCAACAATTATTAAAACTTTATTTATATAATAACTACATATTTAATTTTATATTTTTTATAGAAGTCACTTTGCCAGTATGAAAGATGAAAATTTTCCGGATACGAATGCGGACTATGAACTATCGTGGAATTTTGTGAGCAACTTCGTTTTTATTTGGGCGATGATTGCATTTATTTTTTATAAATTCCCGGAGGCGGCCAAGTTTGGAAAATTGATACGTTACATGGTTATTGGGACCGTGGCTCTTCTTTTAGTATGCTTTGTCCGCTTTCTGTTTCTTCCAGGAGCAATTGAAGGGTTAACAAGATTTATGACTCCAAAGGCATCTGATATGGCAATGGGAATTTCCTCTACGTTTATAATGGTACTACATGCGTTTGGAGCCGGCTGGGGCAGTGTAATAGCCCTGTCCAGTTTTAACGGGTTCAAGACTAACATCATGTCCTACAGTTGGATTATTTCCTTCGGACAGATTTTCATTTACATTATGTTCGGAATGGTTTCTTTTATGCTGGAGCATTACTACAAAGGTAACAACTGTCGATTATTTTGCCTTTTCTGATCCCTGTTTTCTCGTTCTCGTGGTATGTGTTTTTCAGCCTACTACTTTTTGCTTACTGTAGCGGACGAAAAAAAGATTCAGTGTATTATAAATAAATCAAATTAATATATTATTTTCAGGTTTCTCAGAAGATTCTTATAACACTTATGTAATAAACAATTGGCTGTTGTATGTGTCAAGTGCTTCTGCCTTGGCCTCAATGCATTGGTCGAACCTGTGGACTTTTATTTACTACACCATGTTATTAATGGCTGCTCTTATTGTAATGGTGGGTGTGATTATGCTAGAAAATATCATAATTTCTACATATATATTCCATTGCAGACAACGCAAATCTTCACTATCCTACAAAGTTTGTTTGATGAATTTGAGATTCTTAGAACAAGAAAGCAGGAGGTAACATTTGGCCTAATTGGCGGCCTGACTGTCTGCTCCTTTTTCTTTTGCACAAATGTAAGTATAAAGCTTGTAAGAATCTCAAAAAATTAAAAACTAATTTTTAGCATATATAAAAGATTCTCAAAAACAATAAAATTAAAGATTTATTTTTTACTTCAGTTCGTATTAATGAAAGTATATTTTCTTTATTTTTCAGCACGGTATTAGTTCCTTTTCGGCCTTGAGTCTTGATGCTATTTTCTCTCACAGTGTGCTACATTTACTGCTCCTTTTGGTGGTTTTGTGGATTTACGGCAGAGAACGATTTCAGCGCGATATTGAGTTTATGTTGGGTCAGCCATTTGCCTCATGGAAGATTTTTATACTTCGCTTCATAGCTCCATTGTTTTTATTGATTTGTCTGGTTTGTTATAGATACAAAATTCTGTATAGTTTTTGATAAGCCTTAAATTTGTATTTTCCCTACTAGGTTTCAGGAGCATTGGCGGCCGTAATGGAGCACATTTACTCCGTAGTATCGGTCCTCATTATATCCATTTTTTTGGTGGGATTACCAATTCTGGCAATACCTGGCTACGGATTTTACTACCTTTACCAGAACACGGGCACCTTTTGCGCACGGTTTAGACGCACTTGTCGACCCACCGATTGGTATCCGGTTGAGATGGAGCACCGCCAGCAGTACGAGGAAGCCGTCGGCAACACTGATATTACCCACCAGCTTTTCGAGGTCACGGAGGAGGTTAACTAAGTGGCGGTACAATTACGAATGTACTTGAAATTGAAATATATGTATAGAACATACTTTCAATATTACTCGTATTGTCCTATAATGCAAGTAATTGGATTGATCTGATCATTGAAAACGCGATTTTATTTGGGAGATGTATTTTAGGGGCGTATTTTACACCGACCTTGAACAAAAAAAAGTATTTTGCATATAGAATATATTGGATATAATATAATAAAGTGAAATTTATGTATGCGTAAAATCTTGGTGCAATGAGCCCCCCACTTGAAGATTATTATTAAATAAATATCATTAATCATTGAAAAGAAAAAAAATTTGTGGATGCTATTTTATTTGCTTTGGCTTTAATATAATGGGCCAACTATTGAACTTTTATTTTTTTTACACTCTTCTAATGGCCGCTCCCATTGTGATGTTGAAAAAAAAAATAAATAGTGTTTTAAAAAAAAAAAAAACAAGGTTCCTTTAACCAGTTTTTTATAATTTGCTATGTATTATTTTTTTCATGAGTTTGAGAGACTGAGGGAAAGAAAACAGGCCGTGGTCTTTGCCCTAATTAGTCTTATTGCCATCTGTTCACTTTTCTTAAGTCACAAATATAGGTAAATATTGACTTTTTAAATTCTTAGAGAAATAAAACATATTTGATTATTATATTTTTACAAATTGGTACTAAAAATAAGTATCTTTCGGACAGAGGGATGATTTTTTAACTGACTTGGGTCTGGATATAATTTTATCAAACAGTCTGCTACATTTCCTTCTTATTTTGCTGATTTTTTGGATCTACTGGGTCAGCTCTTTCCATTCTACGCTTCATAGTTCCAGTTCCTTTGGTGATATGTCTGGTTACCAATACGTCTAATAAATCTTAAACGTATAACTTTTAATACTAGATACTAAAAGATACTAAGTTACCTTTTTTGCCAATATATGGCAATTGAATATGTTGACTTTACCGCACAGGCAGCTGCGTTTGCAAGCGATTGGTATCCTGTTGAGATGGATATGGTGACCCATCAGATTGCCCAGCAGATGAACTAACTGTAACCAATAATGCAAAAACAGAAGGATATAAAAATCTAGGTATAAAATCTATTTGGTGCCCTCCACGTCTGTCTCAGACATAAAGCCCGGCATTTGGCGTTGCTTTCGGAAGGCCTCGTAGTCAGCCCGATCCTGCGGATCCGCCGGAGTCCAATCCAAGGGCTTGAGTCGCTTCTTCAGGCTGTCGCATAATGTGGCACGCTTGCGGATCATGATATAGAATATGTAGAGCGGTATCCACATAACTGATGATGCAAAACTGGCCCAACCGATAATAATGGCCCACTGTGGATAAGGAACGTTGTTGTAGGTGATCGTTCGTATGAACACGATGCTCGTAATGAGAATAAACTGTAAGCAGAAGCATTTGTTACAACAAGTTTTGTAATAGGTGTTGTGAAAATGGCAAAACAACTTACGATTAGGACTATGGGAGTGACGATTTGCCACGAAATTCTCCAATATAGACTTGGCCTTTCTCCGAGCATAAATTCGATATCCAGCATGAAGTTTTTAATGCCATAAATCCAAGCTACCATAATAATCTCCACCAGACAGATAACAATTACAGCTATCGCCGAGGAGTACCAATCGAAAAGCTGGAGAACGTACATGCCACCCTGATATTGGAGGTACAACATTAAGAAGAGAGTGTGATTCTCGGGGTCGAGGCTTTTCATTGAAGAGGGTACTCACATTTGTGCACATTATGGAGGAGACCCAAAAAAAAAAGACGCAACAAATAATGGTCATTTTCCATTTGTGGTCTCTTACCCAAGTCCACTCATCCAGAATAGATGACATGATGGCCTCCAGTTGAACAAACTGCAAATTGGCATAAAGTTAGCAGTGGTAAATATTTTATTCCCAGATCTTTGGATCTTACCACACTATCGATACCCAGCAGAAAGAGCATGCAGAAGAACATCAGCGCCCAGAGCTGTGGAACTGGCAACATGGCAATGGCCTCCGGATAGGTGACAAAGGCCAGTCCAGCTCCACCTGTGGCCACCGATTCCACAGGAATGCCCGACTTATCTTTGGATTGACGACCTCTGAAGGCTTATAACTATGTACATATCGAAAAGTCCTTACCCGAAAGGAAACCCAGCACGGAGAAGACAACAAAGCCCGCAAAGATGCTAGTGAACACGTTGATCGTTACTATGAGAAACGAGTCGTACTTGGCGTTGTTCCGAAAGTTGCTGAAACTAGCCATATTGACGAGACCACCCCAACCGGGTCCCAAACCGAAGAACATCTGAACGGCGGCATCGGCCCAGACTTTCAAGTCCAGCAGGCGATCCCACTCGGGATACAGGTAGAACTTGACCCCCGTCCAGGCTCCTGGTAGTGTGACACCTCTGACGAACAGGATGAAGAGCAGAAGGTAGGGAAAGGGCACCGTGAAGTACACGACTTTGCCCACCTGTATTTGATAGATTCAAAAATGTTAAAGCCTAATCTGAACTGCAAGACTCACCGTCTTGATACCGCGCATTAAGCACAGGTAAATAATAATCCAGGTGATCAACAAGCTGAGGAACTGTTCCCACACCATTCCGCCCAAATGGGAGATGTCCGATGAGATTCTAAGGACTTCTAGGCTGCAAATGGAGATACTAATAATTGATAATCATTGAGATGCAAAACAATAATAGAAATAATCTTAGTCAAATTGTGAAAGGATATAATATGAGGATGGTGTCTAATACTCCTTAAATAATAAAAAACATACTAAATATGGTCAAATCTTGAAAAAATAAGTTAAGCAAAAGGATATACAATTTTGGAAAGTTCATAACTGAATAAAGTTTCTTCCCAAAATATTGACTTTACTCATACTCACTGAAAAAACTCGTCGGCGGCAGTTTTAAATCCTTCGGTTATGTTATGCTGTCCTAACTAAAGAATTAAAATAAATAGTTTTACAAGGATGGTTTTCTTAGTTAACTAGCTTACTTCAGGACCGTGGACACATTCGTCAGTGTTCCATGGATTATTGCAGTCCTCCCAGGGTACCTTCTTAAAGAAGCAGTACGAGATCATGCGGATGGGATACGATATAATCACCGAGTAGTAGCACACACAGTATGCGTTCACCACCACCTGAGCGAACCCAGTTCCCTTTAACAGGGGTGCTAAGCGAAACATTCCCGTGCATCCAGTACTCGAAAACTGTCCGAGCAGAATCTCCATATAAAACAGGGGAATACCAGCTAAAATGACCATCAGTATGTAAGGGATGAGAAAGGCGGCTAAAAAGAGGTGATATAAATATTAAAAAAAAAAACAATGCTGCAAATTAGTTCAATTGTTAAAGATAATAAAATATAAATATTTAAATAATATGTATTGCCATACATTGTAATACGAATAAGCACGAAACACCCCTTTCTTGCTAAAGGTAAATGGAAAAAAAAAATGTTTAAAGGAGCCAAAAAGTATTATCCTTCGAGCCGGATTTGAACCAGCGACCTATGGATTTCAACATATCGCGATTCAGTATAACTGATGGTACAAGAGCAGGCGCTATCTGGGCCATGGTATTGTTTGGCCCAGAGTCCAGCCTCTACTCGCATCACCAAGCCTCGGAAACTCTACAGTCCACCGCTCTACCAACTGAGCTATCGAAGGCGTCGCCGTTCGGTTGCCCAGTTGGCCATCATAAGTGCTGGAGCTTTGCCAGCTTTCACTCGAAAGCTAAAGCCTAAAAATAACCAACGCCACCACTCAATGCTGCACTCTTGTTCGCTGACGTCAGTGGTGCGCTATTTTGGGAGCTTGAGCTCACTCATCGATTTGATGGACAGTGGGTGGGTGGGTGTGTGGCTGGGTTACTGAGTGGGTGAATGTGTGGCCAGATGGGTGACTGGGTGGGTGGATAGAGTAGACTTACCGCCGCCACTGCGGTAGCACAGATAGGGAAAGCGCCACACATTGCCAATGCCTATGGCATAGCCGAGGAGCGAGAGGATGAACTCCGACTTGGACTTCCACTGGCCACGGTTCTCGTCCCGCTCGATGCGCTTCTCCTTGCGAGCGGGCTGCGTCGGGGGCGGTTGATTGGCCATTGTCACTGAAGGCTACTTTTTGAATTTACCATACTGGACCAAAGACAATTGGAGTATTTATAGTTAGATTTCTACACTATTTTTTTTTAATGCTGTCAAAAAAATTGTTACTGTCAGTGAAAATAGAACAACTTATATTAGAAAAAAATTAAATGACATCAAAAATCATACTTGAAACAATGTTTCTTTTTATGTAAAGTGTCACATTGAAATTATTTAAAAATACTAATGTATATATTGCGATATAAGCGATCAATTTCATTAAGTAAACTTGTGGCGCTGGGATTATCAAATAATAAAAAAATATATTGCATTGCTCGATAAATAAATTGACCATAAATAAATGGTAAAATAAGCAAAATGTCATGCTTAAAATAATACCAATTGATATGTATATATATTAAAATATTTAAAAGGCTTTATTAAAATTAAAATGTTTAAAATGTTTGTAGTTCAATGAGTTCAATAAGAAATCCTAAGTTTCGTCAAACACTAATAATTTGTAGACATTTTGTTCAGGTTTTAGTAAACGTTATAACACTTTATTGGCAACACTTTAGCATCGTTAGATGTACATATATCAGGTTTAGTTCACGGCATATACATTAGGCTATCTTAGGGACTATGTGAGTGGGTTTTGTTAAAGCTTCGATTTCCATGTTGGTTCCACGTTTCGTGGCATTATCATCTAACAGCTGAGGGTATTAAATAGAATCAACAGAGCCGTCGCCACCAGTACCAGTGGAATAGCTTTCAGGTCCGCACTTGAACTATGACCCGCTATCGCTGTGTAGTCATCAGGTCGCTTGGACTCGCGTTTCTCGGCCTTTTCGCAGAGGTCACCGCAGTTGGCGTGCTCGCAAATGTCGCAGATGTTTGACTTGGGCGCCCTATAAAATTGCCTTGCACGACGAGCTAAAAAAAGTGGGCAGAGTTATAAATTAATCATAAGTAAATGATTAGAATAAATGTCAAATTCCATTAACATACCGTTATCGTAGTAATCATACATGACCACCGCCACAGGTCGATGCTTGGTGACCTTGACCGTCTTGTAGGCATGCAGAGTGGGACAGACCTCCCTCCTGTCCAGGTAATCAAAGTAGATGACCACCTTGGTGTTCCTGTTCTGGGTCTCCACCTTCTTGATGCGCTCACTCGACTCGAGGGTGGGTAGTGTATCCCTGTCCACAACAAAGCCACTGGGCAGTTGCACCTCCATCACGGCCATATTGGATCGCTGCTCGGCCTCGCCCACCACGGAAACAAAACTTGCACAGGCCGAGAGATGGAGGTAATCCGCATGAGAGTTGCGATTCACTGTGGGATCCAGTACAAATCGCGGCCAGGCACTGGTCACATTCGTGTTATATTGGTAGCTAACTTGGGCAAAGGCCATTCCCCGACCAGTTGCCGAAACGCTCAGGTTCTTAAGATTGTTGGGTAGCTAAAAGGGATACCAATTAAAAATATTGTCACTAATTAAACAGTCAATAATTCTTTGCTTACCTCCACCGTTTGCAGAGCCAGTGAGTTTTCAGCATTGACATTAATGATCGTTTCGGCTCCTTCTCCATAATGGAAGCCAATTTGGAGATTATTGCCCTGACTGGAAAAGCGTTCGGCAAACATGAGGAGCGCCTGGAGGCCCACCACCGTATCCTGGGACGCCACAAAGCCACCTTTGGAGTTTCGCTGGTCCATCAGCCAATTCAAGACGGGCAAGGCATCGCCCACCAAGTTGTTTTCCAAAAGAGCCAAGGCCGCATAAGCGGAGATCTCGATATTGACATTTCGGGTGGCATTATACCAGGGTGACTGCTGTTCACCAGCAGGTGCCGTCTTATTCCACCACTTGCGACCATCTGGAAAATAGTTATTACATCATTTAATTCATAAAGTTATAAAAACTAAACATACCCTTGTTGGTTGCCATCGAATCCAAACGCTGAAGAAAAGCAGCCTTGGCATTATGATTAGCTCGAGAGAGCACATAAGTGCCCAAGGCCATGGCATGCAGATTATTGGAACCATCCAAGCCTCTGGTGATAAAGTCCAGGGCTTTGTTGATGTTGTTCCGGTATTCCGGATGTAGGTCCTAGATACATAATATTGACATAATATATATGTTCTTTTCGCGTGTATATTGTCACATACCACATTTTCCATTAGAGCCAGTGTGACAAAGGCAGTCAAACTAATGCCATCGTCGCCGAATCTCTCAAAGACATCACCACGCTCCTCAAACCCACCATTTGCTGATTGAACACTGGCCAGATAAGTCAGAGCACTCTGAAGGACATTGCTATCCACTTGGGTGAAGGGAGCCGCTTGACGTAGAGATCGAGCCACGTAAGCTGTTAGCCAGGTGGAACTCCGTTTGCCATCTAATCCGAATGCACTAAAAGCACCATTCTCATGGCGATAATACAGAATTCTTTGATAGCCCACTGCCAGATTGTTTGTGGCACGCAGTTCTACTTCCGGAGTAAGTTGCCGAAGACGCTGCAAGGAAGATTTTGAAATATATAATAATCTTTTCAACTTCAGTGATATTGACTTACCCCCAAGTAGCGCAGAACCATCAGATTGGGCACAAAGTTTACCATAGTCTGTTCACCGCAACCGGTTGGCAGGAGAATAAGGTTGTCTAGATTCCCCACTAAGCTGCCAACCAGATCTCCAACGGCTGAAACTTCAATTCGAGTGGATTCAGGAATAGAATTTCGTGGAACCGCAATGGTTATATTTCTCCTATTCTGAGCATTAGAGTTCAGTTCAAACAGAAAACCTCTGTTAACCCGTTCCGTGGCACCAGGATGCTCGACCAGCAGGTTTTGCTCCACAGTATCACCAGCTTGAGACGAGGCAGCCATTGCCTTGACTAAAAGGGAACCCACTCGCTTGGGTGTTACTATAAACGAGACTGAGCGGGCTGATTTTCCTGGGACCTGCAAGGACCTACGCCTGTAAAGCTCCACTTCTGTAAATAGTAGAAAAAAATGTAAGAAACCATTGAAATTAAGACGCTTTCAACAAGGACTTACTTGGTTGGTTAGTGGCTTTGGGATCTAGCTGGGGAAAGTCAAAGTCCAGAGCTGAGTTGTAAAAGGTGACCTCCACATTTAGGTCACTCTCCCTGTTGTTGTGCACCACAAACGGAATGGCAATTAGTTCATCTGGAAAAGTAATAATATGATTAATATCCGTTCTCTTATTTAAGGATTTAAGGATTTGCCTTACCCCTTTTTATGGAGTAAGGTAGCTCTGTGGTTATGAAGAACTCCTTGTAAGCCTCCATTTTGCCATTTGGTGCCGACAATCCCAAGCCATTAACCGGATCCAGGGCAAAGGCGGAAACTACCCAGGATGTCATCTCACTGGGTATCCTTCGGTGGATCGAGTTCCTTCCATCGCTGCCAGCTGAGATGTTCAAGAAAAGCCACGTATCTGCAGGATCGCGCATCACATGAACTCTTGGATTATGCCAGAAGGGCTTTGGTGTATAGGAGAAGGCATATCGTCCTTTGCCAGGAGGTAAGGTGTTAACCTCGATTTTGTGGGCAGGTCCAATGTCTGTTTTTCGCACTGTGGTCAGCCTATCTTCCTCGGGACCAGTGGAAATATCTCGTCCTAATGCCGGACTGCTCTCAGCTTCTTTTTCGATAAAGTAGTCTGTATTGGACATGGTAATAACTCCAGATTCCTTGCCTGGTGAGCCCGTTGGGGTGTTCACATCACTCAGCTCATACGAGCGTAGAGCATCCATTAGCCGTTGGTGGGTTAAATCGTGACCACTCCGCAGGGCATTGGCATTTTGATCCACTAGCATGAGACCCACATAAGAATAAGGTTTGGTGCTGATGCCTATATCAATATCCTGGCCTGGAGGTGCTCTAATAGGAGCCTCAACTTGTACCGCATTAAGCAGGTTTTCCTCAAACTGTATGACCTGCTCATCATAAACAAACTCTCCATTCACTACTGTATACACGAGAAGCTTGGCACGCGGCATCATTGCAAATGAAGCCAGGAATTTGATGGTGTGGAAAGTTCCATCGGCCACCTAATTAAGGGTAGAAAACAATTAAATCGTAATAAATTTCCATTTAAAATATAACTTACATCCACGTTGCGAGAAAGAATAATATCGCCACGTCCAACAACTTGATACATGAAATACTTAATGGGCTCAAAAGAGCGCACCACCACTGAAATTTCCTGGTTAACAGTAGGTCTAAAATTTATCAAATCATTAATGATTGCATTTATATGAGTAACATCCATACTCACCTATCATTCAACACCTTAGCTGTGATGTAGTTTTTGCTGTGTAGATGTTTTCTCGGAATCTTTCCCACCTCACTAATTACACCCTGGTAATCGACAATAATGGAATGGAATTCATCCCGATCTCCGATTGGAACTGTGAACTTCATCTTTATCTCGCCACTGGCGTCCAAATTATATGAAGTACGATTATACATCTCACTGCTGCCATAAACATTTGTAAGATAGGCGGTGATATGGGGATTAAAGTCCCTAAGTTGGCTGCCATCATTGCGGGCAATACGTGCCTTGAAAACAAGTTATGTTAGAACTTTTTAAAATACCAACTTTACAACTAGTTACCGAAGCTTCAAAAGGCACTCCAGGAATATAATAACTGGGCACCTTGACGGTCTCCACACGATAGTGATTTAAGTGCAGCGTCAAGACTGTTGAATAGTTCTGCACCGAGCCAGTGGATTTCTCCTCAACCAGGGCATCCAAGAGATATTGCCTTTCATAATCCTGCTTAAGATGAAGCTCATTCTCTATATCAAACTCAAAGTACGCATTGCCATCAATGGGTACAACTTTTCGGGTAATGAGATCGTTGACAAAAGGTTGTAGAGAGCCAAAGAAAGTGGGATAGATGGATAGGGTGGCCTCACCCACAATTGGCTGACCAAAAGCATAGCTATTTGAAAATTTTGTGAGATTATGACAACTAAATATTTGGTGAAGATATGAAATACTTACTGCGCCTTGACAGTGGCTGCTATTTTTCCATCCTTATAGATGGCATGCTTGGGAGTATCAATATCTACCACAAATTTGGGAAGAATATGATCGAGGATCTCGAAAGTTTGTGTATAAATTTGTTCTGATACGTCGACGACGATGGACCAGGTCCCAAAGCGCGGATAATCCGACAATCGAATTTCGTTCGAGTAAATGGAGTTGGTCAGGCGAATGTCCTTGTAGCTCCGAATAATATTATCGCCCGAATCCTTGATATCCACATGAACACGTCCATAACCTCGAGCAGGTTTTAAATTGGCATCCAGAACGAGTACGCGATAGTGAACCAGATCGCCGGGCTTGTAGATACTTTTGTCGGTCTGAACCAAAACAGTATGTTGCTTAGGCTCGAAGTGCAGCTGGGTCTCGTTTGTAAACTGAACTCCACCAAGACCCTCAGTAGTGAGACGATATCGGTCAGTTTTCAGGGCCGGAATCTAAAGATGTCTGAAGATTAAAAGGAGTTCTTTTGCTAGAGAGTAACCAAAAGATTACCACCTACCTCAAAGTGCAATAGTTGTGTGGAAAAAGGTCGCAACTCCACTGTCTTAAAGTCTGTGTAAGAGCTTCCAAGGATTCCCACTTTGAATGTGGCCGATTCTGGGGCATTATGCAAGCTTACAGCTACATGAAATTGTGAATTCGGACGCACTGTATTCGGTGCAATAATGGAGTAAAGACTGTAAAATATTTGAGAGTGTCAGTAAATTAAAATAAAATGCTTCTTTGAAGCCGAAATGTAATTGGACTCCTTTTTTGATTCTGAAAATTTAGGACTTTATATTTCAACTCTATTAAAGGGTATATAAAATGTTTTTTGTATTTGTGGTAACTGCTTATTTTCATTTACACAAAAACCAGTTGCGCCGACTGCCGTCTAAAAAACACCCAAAAAGAGCTTCAGATTTAATGTTCGTAGATAAGTGGATTACACCTATGCTGTTATGCTATCTGAATCTTTTTTTCGCTATTCATTCACGCGTCTAACGGAAGACAGTACCCCAACTCGAAAGGGGTATTGTACTTTAACTCTCTTCGGTCGGGTCAGCATCAATCGCTGCGGTGCGGTATTTGTCGGAAATGGTTGGATGTGGTTGAAGGTGGTTGGTGGTTCGGGGTCGGGGTTGTGGGAAGCTTGTCAGAGTGGCTCGAGCTATAACTATTTTTGTGTGGTTTTCTTTTGTCTCTTCCTCGTAGTGCAGAATTTGGTAGCTTTTTAACAGCAGCATAACAAAACAATTGCAGCTGTGAATCGAAGACTTAGAGTCTCATTTAAATACATTTTGTTTTTATAATGTTTATGTTGAGCTACCTCATTAATGAAAAGGTTATTATATAATCAGTAGTAATATTATTTTGTATAAAAACTGGAATAATAGTAACAATGCCAGATGTTTGGTTTGGAGTTTTCCTGTGTTCGAAAATCACCCTCAATACATGTGGCCTCACAAGCAATTATCAAATAAATAAGGGGATATTTATTAATTTAAGTTTTGTATTTTTTTTATTTATTTAACATAAAATACCAAACATCTTAAAAAAAAGCATTTCAAAAACAACGTTTCCGAATCCATGCTAGGTTTTCAATTTTTTCGTGTATCTTATACCCTCCTGTTTTGATAGTAAGTTTCGGGCTATTCATTTAGTTGGTAGCCAAATGGCTAAATTTATGAACTGTGCCAGATTTTGGCGTAATTCACAGTTTACCGGCTGTTCTAATTCCAATTGGAGTGCTGGTCCTAACCTGTTCCCACCAAAAATTTTCTTTTGTGTTTATGTCACGTTTGTTAGCCTAAAAAAACAGGTTCCCCCGGTGGTGGTCGGTCTCGCAAAACGGTTTTCAGCCAGCAGGTAAATGGCTAAAACAATTTCGCTTTTGCTCAAATTGGCCGCAAAATGCAGGCTTCAAGTTTCCAGTTGCAGTCGCGATGTTCCACCTGATTGATTCTGCCATGGGGTGTTAAACGAATGCAACCAGGTGAATTTCATAGCTGATCTGCTCATTCACCCATAGGATCTGGCGAAATCAAGCCTTGAATGAGTGCCCCATATATGGTAGCAGAATGAGCTTGAGCCAACTCAATGACAGATCATGAATAAGAGAAAAAAGAGGAGAAAAGCACCAGAAGTAGACGCCTCCATCGGTATTGCCCGTACTCGATCAATCACAGTTCTTGGTGAACCTCTACATATATGGCAGAATAAAATCGCAAAGTGATTATAATATTGCCTCGACTGGTCAGCGTTCAAGGTGAACCATCGGAAATGAGTACACTACTAGCAATCCATGTTTATGTGTCACCTCAAACATAAGGGTGGATCAAGCGGATGAGACAATGATTCTGTTTCAGATTGTATTAACACTTGTTTCGGGTAATTGAGCTTAGCGTGAAGATGGGAAAATGGTTTTAAGAAGACTTTACTTAGAAAAAAATTAATAATTAATATCAAAATAAATACATTTCGAATAAAACGAAGGCTAAATGAAGGTGTTGAATATTTAAGAAACATTAACATAATTAACATTATATATTGAAAGGCCAATAAATTCCCATTTACATTTTATAATACCCCGCATCTCCTTTGGAATAACTTTAACAATTGTCCAAGCATTATTTTATGTTATGTCATCGGAATGCATCTCCTTTTTAGCATCTTCCCATCTTGCATCACCCTAACGAGTTAAATTCGCGTAGGCAGTTTCAAATTCGTCTCCAAAAATCGCGTTGGCTTCGGGTTATTTCATCTCCCAACTTGTTTCGGTCTTGTCAGCTTATTATGACAGTAATAAAACCCAGGGCTAATTTCTTGATTACATGTTGTTAATTACAGATCTGCGTGGCGGCATATCATACTATCCCGAAGTTCACACTGATCTTTTGAGTTCCTCGTCTAAGTCATTTGTTTTTCTAGCTTTATCTGGAGTGGAGTGATGTCATTTTGCGGCACTTTAATGATTTTTTTTTGTCATTTTTCGTTAGCTTGTTCAATGTGTCACCTGTGGATGAGGTGTGTGCGTTATACTAACCCCTGGGCAGATGTTTGGTAGAATAAACAAACGCTGACTAAGATCAGCACGGGAATAGCTCCAATATCCGTTCCCTGGGGGCGCATTTTGTTACTTTTCTTTTTGAATCACGTTAGCAAATTAAGTGTAAACACGTTTTCTCGATTGTCGAATTGTGTATTGGCATCACATATTAAAACAAAAATCAAGTCGAACTTTATTGCCGTGGGCAGCCGCTTTGCTTCCTCTCTCTCGCACTCCCGTTGAATATATATCTTGCTATTTCACTCGCGATTGCAGCAGCACCAAAAGCACCGCAGATTGCCCAAGACGAAGTGCGCGTTTTTGGAGCGACTTTACTCGCTTTTGGTTTTACGCGATTTTCACCATTTGCTGCGGAACGCCCGCGATCACCTGCTGTCCGCTTGAAAGCTCGCTGCCAACTGATTTCTCAAGTAGCCGATCGCTCTTGCAATGATTAAATTCTCAAAGACGTTGGCGTAGCGCAACAAACTATACAAAAATATAAACAAACGCAAGTTAGGGGCGATTAAAAGCTCTTACCTCTATGGGTTTTGTTCAACGCTAAGCAATGACTTGCTCCAACCAAAAATACTGGTTTTGGGTTTTTAACACAAGCGTCTTATGAGGCCATTAATAATGGTAAAAATATGGGAATTGTTTTTTGTTACATAATTAATTCATTTAAATTTAAAATTAAGGTATTTAAAAATATAGTGAATACCTAAAAGGCTACGGTTCAGTAAATTGACCAAATTCAATAACTTTTTGAACCGGATAATTGTTTTTTGGTGAAAATTTTGAACACATAAAGATCTATGTTGAAATTGAGACAAGGAGAAGTTGAACATTTTTGTGATGTTTTTTAGCATGTGGATATGAACACAAAAATAATTTCATTGATGTCCCTTCTTTTTTTAAGTGATATTTTAAAAGAACGTTATTCTCAGAATATATAGATATTTTATCTAAGAAGTGTTATCTATATTTCTTACTTAGTTAACTTTATGAAGTTTGAATTCTAATACTAAATAAATGTTTTGAAAGGTACATCCCTAAAAAGGCAAGCACAAAAAATCAAAACGACCTTACCAAATTATTTGTAAGAACGCGAGAGATAAGGTTATCGCTTTCAGACCCATTGCTCAGTCGATCCTATTTAAAGCCGATCTCAGATTAATTTAAACTCATTTTAAGTCGGTGCGTGCTGTGTATCGGTCTACTTTTGCGATTGCTTGGTAAAAATATTATTAAAAAACAAATAAAAAAGTGATAATAATTGACCTCACAATTTTTTTTTAAAGCTAACGAGTACTTAAACTAAGAAATGTTAAGTATTTTTTTGTGCATTGTAGTATTGCAATATGTTCTGCTTATCCAAGCCAATTCGTAAGTAAACAAATTATAATTAAATTCTAATAATGGTTCGTAGATACAAATTCCTTAACGGTTTTTTAACTGGAGCACTTTATGTTTTGGCCAACTGAGAAACATTAAATATTTTCCAGCCTCTATACGGTGGTGGGGCCTGGCACCATCCGATCCAACTCCAAGTACAATGTAGTCGTTTCGATCCACAAGGCAGATGGACCGAGCCAGATAAAGGTCAGTCTAAATGGACCCTCGTACAATGAGACCAAGCAAATCGAACTGCCGCCAATGTCCACCGAGAATGTGGAGTTTGAGGTGCCAAAATTGGCCACCGGCGACTATAATCTCACTGCTGAGGGAATTTCCGGTGTGTTTTTCCGGAATTCTACCAAACTGAACTATGCCGATGAGAAGCCCTTGACTTTTGTTCAAACCGATAAGCCAATCTACAAGCCAGCTGATCTCGTTCAGTTTCGTATTCTCTTTTTGGATGAGAACACTCGGCCCGCCAAAATTGATAAGCCTATATCGGTCTTAATCACCGACGGAGCCCAGAATCGGATTAAGCAGCTTACGGATGTCAAGTTAACCAAAGGTGTTTACTCTGGAGAACTCCAGTTGTCCGAGCAACCTGTCCTGGGCACCTGGAAGATCTCAGTCAGTGTGGATGGTGATAGTAGGGAGACCAAGTCTTTCGAGGTGGACAAATATGTCCTACCCAAATTCGAGGTCATCGTGGACACAGCCAAGAATGTGGTCCAGGCAGAAAATGTGATCAAGGCCACAATTCGGGCCAAGTACACATACGGAAAACCAGTGAAAGGCAAGGCTACAGTATCAATGTTATTCATTGGTGATTCGGAGGATTACAAACAGGAGAGAACTGTCGACGTCGATGGGAAGGGTCATGTGGAGTTTGATTATTCCGTGGACCCGGATAACGACAAACAGCTATCATTGGAACTCTTTGCTGTTGTGACCGAAGAATTAACGGGGAACAAACAAAATGCAACCGCCTCTGTTCGTCTTCATGAGCAGCGTTACATTATTGAAAGGTTGGGGACGTCAGAGTATTACTATAGCAACAAGTCGTTTATATATCAGATTGTGGTAAAGAATGTAGATGGGACTCCAGTCACAGGTTCTTCGAAGAATATAAAGGTGGTATTTAGAGACTGGTATAACCCACCTACAATCATTAATTTCGAAGTACCTGTAAGCCAGAGTGGCATTGCCACCTTAAATGTTACTCTGCCCGAGCATGCTACCAACTACTTTAACGTGGTCGCCACTTTTGAAGGGATAGAAACACCCATCGGAACTATCAGAAAAGCCCCAGTAAGTAGCGAGCCTCTGAAGATTCAGGTGAACACGAAAACGTAAGTTGCATTTTTTATGACAAGTCTTTCCAATCGAAAAATGAGTGAGCATATATTTTTTGTATTTTAGACCAAGATTGGGCCACCGAGTTTCTTTCGATGTCAAATCGATAGAAGATATTCCTTACTTTGTATACACGGTTGTGGCCAGAGGAAATATACTGCTGAGTGAATACGTTGATGTGCCAGATGGTCTTAAGACTTACACGGTTAAGTTTACTCCCACATTGAGCATGGTGCCCAAGGCAACCATCTTTATTCATTATGTCTTGAACAACAACTTACATTTTGAAGAGAAAACTATAGACTTCGAAAAAGAATTTAGTAATTCGGTTAGTCATACTCTAGCAGCCCTTCGACTGAAAATAATTGCCATCCTCTTTTCAAAATAGATTATTATCTCGGCTCCAGTGGATGCAAAGCCCGGCGCTGATGTCAAATTACGGGTGAAAACCGATGCCGACTCTTTTGTTGGTCTTTTGGGAGTCGACCAGAGTGTCCTATTGTTCAAGTCGGACAACGATCTAAGCCGAGATAATATATTTAACAGCCTAAACAAGTTCACGACTGCTACTCCATCGCAAGGCGGCGAAGGGCGTTATCCTGGCCAGCTTTCCGGACTAGTGACCTTAACCAACGCTAACTTTCCTTATAAATTTGGTAAGAGTTTAGTCAACTTAATCTTGAGTAATTGGTTAGGGCGTTTTAATATTCTGGTCTCCAATTTTGAATTTGTTGGTTGTAAGACTCTTCCGGAAATTAGTTTGAGCTTTAATATTATTACTGCGCAAATTCCCAGGACATTTTTTTTAAAGTACTTTAAAAAATTCTTACTAGTAACAACTGTTAATTTTTGAAATGTTCAAATTATTATTTATTTTTAGCCGTCCCGCTGATGATTAAGGAAACACCGAGGTGTTCGACCTCATATACATATCCCAGGCGCCGCCCATTTAGACACTCATGGCAAAATTATAATAGATCCAATTCTTTCAGACGTCCCAGCACATATGGCTGTTGGTATGATGTAAATGATCGCAGAAGGACGCGCTGGATTAATAGATCAAGTCACTCCTCTAGTCACAGCAGGGGAATGCACAAGAGTGCTAGTGTATTGAACTATAATCCGCAAAGTGCATTTAGACCATCATACTATACTACCCGCACACATAATATCAACATACTACCATCAAAAAAACCCCATTCAGAACAACCGCCACCGACGCCAGCGCCAACCCCAACACCAATTATACGTAAAGATTTTCCCGAGACATGGATGTTTGCCAAGTAAGTGTATTCATTTATAGTTTGGACTTTGAAAATGTTTTTAGCTGAAAGAATCTAACAATGAGTATAAGGAAAGTTCGGCTGTTTTGAGTTAAGGTATTAAGCCGGCATGTCAGGTGTGAATTACGAACATAAGTAATAATGCGATGGTCACGATTTTTTGCCTCCTTAAAAGGTGTTTTGATTAAATATATGTCATGACAAATTCAGAACCAATACCGCTTTATTGCTGCCTTACGTTTAAAAAATAGCAAAAATTTAGATATGAACTCAGTTCGAGTAAAATTGCCTAAGGATAGACAAGATATATTCCAACTCCTCTTTTAAATGTATTCAGTTTGGATGGGGATGGATTCACGGTAAGCAAGAAAATCCCGGATACGATTACCTCTTGGATGGTTACGGGTTTTTCATTGAACCCCACATCTGGAATCGCTTTGACCAAGGACCCTAGCAAAATTCGGGTGTTCCAGCCCTTTTTTATTTCCACAAATCTGCCGTACTCCGTTAAGAGAGGTGAGTGTTTCTAAAGCGTGCTTGAAAAATAAAGTTTTCCATCATTAAATCCCAATCTCAGGCGAAGTAATTGCTATTCCCGTGTTAATCTTCAACTACATGGATATAACCCTCGATGCAGAAGTAGTGATGGACAACTCCGACCAGGAGTACGAGTTTACCGAGGCCACAAATGAAGTGCTGGAGAAGGCTATTGATGAAGTGCGACGGGTCAAAAGAGTCACGATACCGGCCAATAGTGGCAAGAGTGTTTCGTTTATGATCCGCCCAAAGAACGTAGGATCCACTACGCTAAAAATCACGGCCACATCTGCATTGGCCGGTGACACTATCCACCAGAAACTGAAGGTGGAGCCGGAGGGCGTAACCCAATTTGAAAACCGGGCAGTCTTCATCAACCTGAAGGATCAGCCGGAGATGACGCAGTCTCTGGAGGCCGAGATTCCCAGCGAAGTCGTGCCGCAGTCCGAATTCATAGAGTTTACCGTGGGGGGCGATCTCCTGGGACCCACGCTCCAGAATCTGGACAATCTGGTGCGCATGCCCTACGGTTGCGGAGAGCAAAATATGGTTAACTTTGTGCCGAACATCCTGGTGCTCAAGTATTTGGAGGTCACTGGTCGTAAACTGCCGGCCGTGGAGTCTAAGGCCAAGAAGTTCCTGGAGATCGGCTATCAGCGAGAACTGACTTACAAACACGATGATGGTTCCTACAGTGCCTTTGGAAAGTCTGATTCTTCGGGCAGCACCTGGCTCACCGCCTACGTGATGCGCTCCTTCCATCAAGCAGGGACCTATACAGATGTCGATCCCAAGGTCGTGTCCGCGGGTCTCGACTTCCTGGTATCGAAGCAGAAGGAAAGCGGCGAGTTCCCAGAGGTCGGAAAACTCTTCGACAATGCCAACCATAATGCGCTGGGGCTCACTTCGTTCGTTCTGCTGGCCTTCTTCGAGAATCACGTAAGTCACCTAGGCGCTACTTAAAACCCGAACATTTGTTTTGACCCCGGATCATTATTTTTTTCACTCAGGAACTCATCCCGAAGTACCAGAGTGCGATTCAGAAGGCAGTTAGCTACGTGGCCGAGGAGGTGGACAAGACGGACGACCAGTATTCGCTGGCCATTGCCGCCGTGGCCCTTCACCTGGCCAAGCACCCGCAGGCGGAGAAGGTCCTCGGCAAGTTGGAGAGCCTGGCCCGAAACGAAAACGACAGGAAGTGGTGGTCCAAGGCTCCGGAGTCCACCGGTGGGGAGGGTCAATTCTTCCACTGGAAGCCACGCAGCAACGACGTGGAGATCACCTCCTACGTGCTGCTCGCTCTCCTCGAAAGGGATCCGGCAGAGCAGGCCCTGCCCATCGTCAAGTGGCTGATCTCGCAGCGCAACAGCAACGGGGGATTCTCCTCCACCCAGGACACGGTGGTTGGTCTCCAGGCTCTCACGAAGTTCGCCTACAAGACGGGCTCTGGCTCTGGCACCATGGATATTGAGTTCGCTGCTGCAGGAGGATCCAAGGATACGATAAAGGTCAACCCTGAGAACTCCCTGGTGCTGCAGACCCACGTGCTGCCCAAGGACACTCGCAAGGTGGACTTCACAGCCAAGGGCACTGGATCCGCGATGGTTCAGCTCTCCTATCGCTACAACCTGGCTGAGAAGGAGAAGAAGCCCAGCTTCAAGGTCACTCCCACGGTCAAGGACTCGCCCAACCAGCTTCTGGTGGTGGACATCTGTGCGGAGTACGTGCCGTTGGAGGAGGCCGACAAGGACAAGGACTCCAACATGGCTGTTATGGAGATCGCCCTGCCCTCCGGATTTGTGGGAGACACCGAGAGCTTGGCCAAAATCGAGGCCGTGGATCGGGTGAAGCGCGTGGAGACCAAGAACTCAGACTCCACGGTCATCGTCTACTTCGACAGCTTGACCCCCGGGGATGTGCGGTGTCTGCCGGTGGAGGCCTCCAAGGCCCATGCGGTGGCCAAGCAGAAGCCCGCCTCCGTGTCCCTCTACGACTACTACGACACGGATCGCAAGGCCACCGAGTACTACCAGGTACAGTCCTCCCTTTGCGACATTTGCGAGGGCGGCGACTGCGGGGAAGGCTGCAAGAAGGCCTAATAATTTACTTTAATATAGGAAAAGACCAAATATATTTTATAGAGAAATGGTTTTTTTAACTAACTATAAAATAAATACCGGCTTAACTGGCCCAATCGATTTTCTCAATTTTAAAATTGTGGTTGTATGCTTTGCGCTCAGATATTTCACAGATATAGGTTGTAGTCATCGGTAAGATTTTAAAGCATTATCAGTTGATGCAAATGTCTTTAGCTTTTAAACTGAGCTCGCAAACAATATAGAAACTGGCTGACATGGCTTTATCCAAGAATATATTCTTAATGTAGTCGGAAATATCTCCTTTACTGCGTTAAAAAATTCCGACAATAATAATAATACCCTTTGCAAGGGTAGAGATGGTCGTTATATTTTGTAACAGCTTAAAACACTGTTTGTTAAACAATGTGTCCCAGCCTGGAGGCATCTCTTATTTGTTTCTGGAAAAAATGTAATATGCAAATATTCTTTCGCCCTCATTTCACCAGTATATGCATATATACATATGTACTTTTTAATTAGCACAACACAACTTTGTTTACTATGAATAAGCAGGTTAATGATCTCAGTTGTAACAGATGTTCTCCCTGCAGAAAATCACTTACAACAGAATTTCAATACTATTTCACAGATAAGAAGTTCAGACAAGTGAATTTCCAAGAAAACATTGTTTTAATTTTTTCACACAAACAAGAATTTAAGATGGGTGTTTCCTGGTGTTATCAGTACGAATCGTTCCAAAACGAAATTGATTAATGTTCAAAAGAGAGAGGAAAGAATTAGCTCTGACAAGTGAAATCGAAAATAATGTTTTTTGCTGATTTAAAAATCTAAGATAAGCTCTATTTTTTGAACCAAATCTGCACTTTATTTTCACTCTTCAACAAAAGAGAATGAACATGCAAACAGAGTTAGTACAAAGACCAATATATTATATTATTAATATGATTATATTGGTCTTTGGTTAGTACCAGTGACGCGAACTAATTGAGTTGTTTGTGACCTGTACATTTTACGGCTGGCGAATTCCCCGAAATAATAAAGAGAGTGCGAGAGACAGATACCTCTGAAGAGAGACCCATTTTCAATCTCTCCTCGATTCTACATAAAGCCGGTCTCAAATCAAGACGAGCTCATTGTGTATCGCCACTAGCTGGCGATCGGTTGTTTCTCGAGGTCAGTTTTTAAATGATTGTCTGCTATTAAGCAGAGTGACAAAAACAATAGTGCGAAATGCTAGTAAATGTTTATGTGGAATCAATAATACAAACATTACATTTTAGCTCCCGTGTCATCTGTTGCAACATGTTGAGGATCTTTTTGTGCGGATTTGTTTTACAATTCGCCCTGCTAATCAATGCCACTGGGTGAGTTGTGTTATATATGTACATGCATATGTACCTAAAAACAATAAGTGATCACACTTATCAGTTTCACAAAGGAAGCGAGGTCATCAGAAAGGTATTTGAGGAGAATAAACTTTTGTATGTATAAAAATTGATATAGGCTTGCAGCCACGTATGAACATATTGAAGACTTTGTCTGATTTGGATGCTGATAGCATTCAAACCGGTTGAAAAACCGTGTTGGTTTACAAGTAAAATAACAAAGCTTAAGTTAGTTTACTTCACATACCTTGTTCCTTGTACATAAGTTATTCCTATGAAGTGCATCAAAATTAAATAATGTGGATTATCTTAATAAATACGTAAAGTACATTCGTTTATAGCCGGTGAGTTCCACAAATAAATTATTGTTTATGGTTTCCCATTAAAGGGGAACTTTTTGTGGGAATAAACAGAGAAAAACACACCCACAAATACACACAAACTTTTAATTATGCAAACGTTAACAACTGAATATTGGATTGCTATTAAAAGGTATTTTTCAGTCGGCTCAGTTATAGATGCTTGTTTCCATTATCAGAACTTCAAAAATAATCAATCAAAGAGCAGCAGATAATTAATTATTCTAATAAACATGAAATTGCAATTAGGTATTCAAAATCCGGTAATGATATTGCCTAGTCACACAATCACCGCTACTTAATTGAAGAATAATACATTTATTGCAGCCTCTATACCGTGGTGGGGCCTGGCACCATCCGATCTAACTCCACGTATAATGTAGTCGTTTCGGTCCACAAGGCAGATGGACCGAGCCAGATAAAGGTCAGTCTAAATGGACCCTCGTACAATGAGACCAAGCAAATCGAACTGCCGCCAATGTCCACCGAGAATGTGGAGTTCGAGGTGCCGAAATTGGCCACCGGGGACTATAATCTCACTGCTGAGGGAATTTCCGGTGTGATATTCCAGAATTCTACCAAACTGAACTATGCCGATGAGAAACCCTCGACATTTATTCAAACTGATAAGGCCACCTACAAGCCCGCTGATCTCGTTCAGTTCCGTATTCTCTTTCTGGATGAGAACACTCGCCCCGCTAAAATTGATAAGCCTATATCGGTCGTTATTACCGACGGAGCCCAGAATCGGATTAAACAGATTTCGGATGTCAAGTTAACCAAAGGCGTTTACTCTGGGGAACTCCAGTTGTCCGAGCAACCTGTCCTGGGCACCTGGAAGATCTCAGTCAGTGTGGATGGTGATAGCAGGGAGACCAAGTCTTTCGATGTGGACAAATATGTCCTACCCAAATTCGAGGTCATCGTGGACACAGCCAAGGATGTGGTCCAGGCAGACAATGTGATCAAGGCCACAATTCGGGCCAAGTACACATACGGAAAACCAGTAAAAGGCAAGGCCACAGTATCAATGGAACAGAGCTATGGATACTTTCTTGATGCTGACGGAAACAGGAAACAGGAGAAGACTGTCGACATCGATGGCAAGGGTCATGTTGAGTTTGATCTACGAGGCTTCGTTCAAGGCCGCTTCTCACCACCAATGAAACTGTTTGCCATCGTCACCGAGGAATTGACTGGCAACAAGCAGAATGCCTCCGCTACAGTCCGTCTTCATCAGCAGCGGTATACGATAGAAAATTTAGAAAAACCGGACCATTTCCATAGCAACAAGTCGTTCATCTATCAGGTTGTTGTCAAGAACGTTGACGGGTCTCCAGTCACGGGCTCCGCAAAGAAGGTCAAATTATCATTTGATAATAGGCATTACTACTATTTAGAGCATACATCTGCATCTGGAATAGATTTTGAAGCACCTGTGAACGAGAACGGCATTGCAACCATAAATGTTAAGCTGCCAGAAAATGACTCCAGTTTCTATCGGGTAGTTGCTACCTTTGACGGATCACAGAGCGCACTGGGAACTATTTCAAAGTTCGTGGCATCCACTGACAATGGCGAGCCTCTAAAGATTGAGGTGAACACAAAAACGTAAGTCGAAATAAGAACAATCAAAAGCGTTAATCGATAAGTTGACTTTTATTTTGCTTTAGGCCAAGATTGGGAGAGCGAGTTTCTTTCGATGTCAAATCGATAGAAGATATTCCTTACTTTGTATACACGATTGTGGCCAGAGGAAATATTCTGCTGAGTGAATACGTGGATGTGCCAGATGGTCTTAAGACTTACACGGTTAAGTTTACTCCCACATTTAGCATGGTGCCCAAGGCAACTATCTATATTCATTATGTCTTGAACAACGACTTACATTTTGAAGAGAAATCCATAGAATTCGAGAAAGAGTTTAGTAATTCGGTGAGTGTAGCTATAGATTACCTTTAAACTGAATTTAATTTTTAGCCTCTCTCCAAATAGATAGTTATCTCGGCTCCAGTGGATGCCAAGCCCAGTGAAGAGGTGAAGTTACGGGTTAAGACTGATGCCGACTCTTTTGTTGGTCTTCTGGGAGTGCACCAGAGTGTCCTTCTGCTCAAGTCGGGAAATGATCTAAATCGGGATGACATCTTCAATAGCCTCAACAAGTACCAGACATCGACGCCCTGGCAGCGTGGCTATGGACGTTATCCTGGACAGACCTCCGGTTTGGTTACTCTAACGAATGCCAACTATCCCTACAGCACTGGTAAGACTAAGGTTTAAGATTCAGGCGTTATACAATTTTCTTGGTTTTTTCTTGAAATTTTGATTTTAGAAAATGGTTTCTTAGGCTTGACAATTTAATATTTTAGCAAGACAAATAAGAACGAGAAAATCACTTGCCATTTGTGAACTTAAATCGATCCTTTATCAGATTTTCCTGACTATGTCGAAGATGATCCGGGAAGCCATATTTTGGAAGAAAATGTTGAGGTTGAATCATTGAATACCTTGCCTCCAATGCCTGTAATTGCCAACTTCCCTCCTGATATCGGGGTCTCCGTTGAACCGGTAAAGATACGTAAGAACTTTGCCAATGTCTGGATATGGCAATCGTTCGGCCGGAGGTGGGTGCCTAGAAAATGACGCCACCTGTTTCTGCATACTTACGCACCCCTATCTCTTTTATTCTTTGGCTAAGGCTGTCAATGCAACCACTTTACTAATACGCGGGTCTTCTCACAGCTGATTTTTATGAATTGGATGATATATTGGACTATCGTGGTTTTGCAGTCCCGGACTCTAATAATATGGACGTGTTAAACCGAATTCATTTTACCAAGACAGAGCCAGCGGTTCGAAAAGAATTTCCAGAAATCTGGATTTGTTATAACACGGAAAAGTACGAATATTTTAATAAGTTTTGTTGGGTCTCAACTGTCTATCTTTACATTTTTGCTAATAGTATCACATTTAACATTTATATCACTATAACAATTTCGAGAAGTGTAAGGAGTTTCATTTAAATGTAAATTTTAGGAAGAAAGTATGAATACGATTACGATGAACTTGTTGATGTGAGAGTAGAAAGTGAAGTTGCCTACGACGAAGTGGACTCAATTTCTTCAAGTTTACCTACGAAAATCGAAGTAATTAGAACCAACTTCGCCGAAGTCTGGATTTGGCAAACACCTGGCAACGGGAGGTGGGTTTTACATTTTCTGGAGCATGATGGCTTATGATTTAATGTTTCTTACCACATAACCGGACTAAATCCATAGTACAGTACTCAGGCTGAGGGTAATTGTAGTAAAGGTTTTCGTGTACAAGCTAAATTATTTAAATATTAACCGATATCGAAATTGGTCCTTTTTTAACAAAATGTGGGATCAGATGTTCCAGTTTCTCCCAAGATAAGATAAGATATAATTGAATTTAGGTGATAATTTAAGTCTTGGGACACCCAATCCCTTAATAATTTTCATGTATATCCCCGATGCAGACTCGTTCTCATGGCACCCATTTATACTAAATGGAGATTACCCGATGCCGATTGCGTTTTCCCCTGGGGCACCTGCGCAAGCTTTTCTTGAATTAGCTGGACCTCCCTCGTTAGTTTCATCTCCGACTCAAGCTCCACAGATTCGCAAAGAATTTCCGGAGAACTGGATCTTTTACAATGGCGAAAAGTATGACGTATTTGCAAACTGTTTCGTAGGCTTTTCGAATATATCTTATGGTTTGATGTATCTCGTCACATAACTATTAACGCCTTAACATTTTCATCTAAATCTAGCTACTAAAATCCCTTCCCAGATTAAAATCTAATATTGTGTCCCTAATAGATCGACGCATATTCCCAAGACCCTTAATTGGCTTTGCAGGTGCACGCCCCCTGTTATTAAACCGCGTTACGGAAGGTGAATTTGTAACACAATCTTCCATCTCTCAACCTCAGATTCGAAAAGAGTTTCCGGAAAACTGGATATTTTTCAACGTAGAAAAGTATGAAGAAATCTAATTGAGTAATACACGCTTTCAGGCTCAATTTATGTTTTTGACTAACACACCACTTTATATTATTCTACTTAAAGGAAAAGGTATTCTATTCTGTTGAAAAAGTCAAACTTTGAATATATAATGTTTTTTTTTAATAGATAATGGGAAGAGTTTTTGATAGAGGGTAACAAGTGAACTTGTTAAATCACATCTTAACATAGCAAGCCCAATCTTAGTAAATAAATTTGTATATTAAGATATTCTCAGGTTCTTATACACAGAGGCATTTGAATATCGAATGGGCGTTGGAGCATCATTTCAGTATGATTATCGGAGCCCAGTCGCATATTCGAGAACAATTTCTTCAGGACCAACTCTACAACCACAAATACGCAAAGAGTTTCCAGAAACGTGGATTTTTGAAAAGTAAACGCGGGTCCAACTGTGCCCTGTAGCGTCACTGTGCATGCCATCATGACCATGAACCCGAGTTAAAGCAGTTTTCGAACTTTTATTAATTATATTAGTTTTGCTATTAATCATTTTCTGGCCAGCATTTAATTCAACTAATTTATAGGCTATGTGGCAAGATAAAAACAAAATACAAGTTATGTCAAAAATATATTAACCCCCGCAACATTTAGCTACGGCTTTCACCACACACTGGCAGGCCAAGACGAGCAAGTGGCTTACCTGAATTATTACACATAGTTTTGATACGCAAGGAGTTATCTGAATCCCAGTCAAAACATATAATATTTTGCGAGCACGTGCACCGCCATCTCAGCCGATCCGTAATATTATCCAAAACTTGGAATAAATTTGAACACTTTAAAGCAATACTTTTATCCAAAAATATTAAATTGTTTACATTTTTTACTGTCAAACACATAAATTCATTACATCCGTGTCCTACTCCGAATAATTTAAGGCGTGGGCAGAAATCTCTTGGGAGCTGTTCCGATAATGATGGTCAGTGCGGGAAGACGGGGTTCAACTAAACTGCGAAAAACTACTAAGCAACCTATTGACCTAACAACCCAACCATCTTCAGTTGCGGAAAAAATTGAAAATATTGGCGTGCGCTCAACGTTTTTAGAGACTTGGATATACGAGTTAAAAGATTTTCCCACAGAGTAACTAGTTTCCCTTATGCTTTTTAACTTTTCCCATGCATGTTTTATTGTTAATTAACCCTCACACTTACCTAATCTTTTGCTTATGTACGTCCAATGTGTTAAATGTTTCTTCAGAGTGTTAATGATCAAGAGACTAAACGAATTTATATTATCTTTAAATAGTGTGGATGGTGAGGGTTTTACCTTGAGCAAGAAGATCCCGGATACGATTACCTCGTGGGTCGTTACAGGCTTCTCCCTCAACCCCACGACCGGAATTGCTTTGACCAAGAACCCAAGCAAGATTCGAGTGTTCCAGCCATTCTTTGTGTCCACCAATCTGCCGTACTCCGTTAAGAGGGGTGAGTGTTTTTAATTGTTAATCCTCATTATATAACATTTTTAACTTAAAATCTCAACCCCAGGCGAAGTAATTTCAATTCCTGTGGTGATCTTTAACTACCTGGATAAGGCTCTCGATACAGATGTCGTGATGGACAACTCCGACCAGGAGTATGAGTTTACCGAGGCCACAAATGAAGTGCTGGAGAAGGCTATTGATGAAGTGCGACGGGTCAAAAGAGTCACGATACCGGCCAACAGTGGCAAGAGTGTTTCGTTTATGATCCGCCCAAAGAACGTAGGATCCACAACTCTAAAAATCACGGCCACATCTGCTTTGGCCGGTGACACTATCCACCAGAAACTGAAAGTGGAGCCGGAGGGCGTAACCCAATTTGAAAACCGGGCAGTCTTCATCAACCTGAAGGATCAGCTGGAGATGACGCAGTCTCTGGAGGCCGAGATTCCCAGCGAAGTCGTGCCCCAGTCCGAATTCATAGAGTTTTCCGTGGTGGGCGATCTCCTGGGACCCACGCTCCAGAATCTGGACAATCTGGTGCGCATGCCCTACGGTTGCGGAGAGCAAAATATGGTTAATTTTGTGCCCAACATCCTGGTGCTTAAGTATTTGGAAGTCACTGGACGTAAACTGCCGGCTGTGGAGTCTAAGGCCAAGAAGTTCCTGGAGATCGGCTATCAGAGAGAACTGACTTACAAACACGATGACGGTTCCTACAGTGCCTTTGGAAAGTCTGATTCTTCGGGCAGCACCTGGCTCACCGCCTACGTGATGCGCTCCTTCCATCAAGCAGGAACCTATACAGATGTCGATCCCAAGGTCGTGTCTGCGGGTCTCGACTTCCTGGTATCGAAGCAGAAGGAAAGCGGCGAGTTCCCAGAGGTCGGAAAACTCTTCGACAATGCCAACCATAATGCGCTGGGGCTCACTTCGTTCGTCCTGCTGGCCTTCTTCGAGAATCACGTAAGTCACCTAGGCGCCTACTTAAAATCCGAACATTTGTTTTGACCCCAGACCATTGTTTCTTTTACTTAGGAACTCATTCCAAAGTACCAGAGTGCGATTCAGAAGGCAGTTAGCTATGTGGCCGAGGAGGTGGACAAGACGGACGACCAGTATTCGCTGGCCATTGCCGCCGTGGCCCTTCAGCTGGCCAAGCACCCGCAGGCGGAGAAGGTTCTCGGCAAGTTGGAGAGCCTGGCCCGAAACGAAAACGACAGGAAGTGGTGGTCCAAGGCTCCGGAGTCCACCGGTGGGGAGGGTCAATTCTTCCACTGGAAGCCACGCAGCAACGACGTGGAGATCACCTCCTACGTGCTGCTCGCTCTCCTCGAAAGGGATCCGGCAGAGCAGGCCCTGCCCATCGTCAAATGGCTGATCTCGCAGCGCAACAGCAACGGGGGATTCTCCTCCACCCAGGACACGGTGGTTGGTCTCCAGGCTCTCACGAAGTTCGCCTACAAGACGGGCTCTGGCTCTGGCACCATGGATATTGAGTTCTCTCCGGCGGGAGGATCCAAGGATACGATAAAGGTCAACCCTGAGAACTCCCTGGTGCTGCAGACCCACGTGCTGCCCAAGGACACTCGCAAGGTGGACTTCACAGCCAAGGGCACTGGATCCGCGATGGTTCAGCTCTCCTATCGCTACAACCTGGCTGAGAAGGAGAAGAAGCCCAGCTTCAAGGTCACTCCCACGGTCAAGGACTCGCCCAACCAGCTTCTGGTGGTGGACATCTGTGCGGAGTACGTGCCGTTGGAGGAGGCCGACAAGCACAAGGACTCCAACATGGCTGTTATGGAGATCGCCCTGCCCTCCGGATTTGTGGGAGACACCGAAAGCTTGGCCAAAATCGAGGCCGTGGATCGGGTGAAGCGCGTGGAGACCAAGAACTCAGACTCCACGGTCATCGTCTACTTCGACAGCTTGACCCCCGGGGATGTGCGGTGTCTGCCGGTGGAGGCCTCCAAGGCCCATGCGGTGGCCAAGCAGAAGCCCGCCTCCGTGTCCCTCTACGACTACTACGACACGGATCGCAAGGCCACCGAGTACTACCAGGTGCAGTCCTCCCTTTGCGACATTTGCGAGGGCGCCGACTGCGGGGATGGCTGCAAGAAGGCTTAAGCCTTCCATTTTACTTTGTCCAAATGAAAAAGTATCAAATTAATCAAATTAAAGTCCATTGAATCAATAGTTTAATTGCATTTATTTTGTAGGGGATATTAAGTTGAAAGTTTTCTTTAATCCAAAGTTAGCAATTTATATTAAAATCATGGAAGTTACTTGATATCGATATGTATTAATAGGTTTGTCAAAAAATGAGTCGATATAGACATTCCCGTAGATCGTTTCATCGACTGAACGGGATCATTCATTTTCTCTCGTTAACTATAAGTCTGAAATGAGAGTAAGACATCACATATTTTGTTGCATAAGTCAGTTATACAATAATTACTTACGTCTGAACATTTTTTATCATTACTTTCACATCAATATTTTCCTTTCGCATTAGGGATAGAAAAGTTTCCTGTGCACCTGGGCTCACCATAATATCGACTTCTTTTACCGATCGGTGCCATAAGTTGTACTAAAACAATTGTACTAAAACAATTGGCTACTGCTCGAACAAATTTAGAAAAGAGAAACTTACATTGTCGTATTGTTCCAGGAGTTGATCCATAATATGTTGGTCTGATTGAGTTTTAACATAAACCTTGTACACGGAATAGTTTTCATAGGAACGAGGTGTTGAATCTGATAAGGTGCAAGCCCGAGCTGCTATCAACAGCAACAATGCAATCAATGGACGCATTTCGACTGAACTAACTGATCAATAAAAAGAAATTGTAAACACAAGTTTTGAGCGTGCTGAGGCAACTGGGCTTTTATAATTCAAAGCATCAAATAAGAATGAGACTACGGAACACTTAACAATTGTATATTAAACAAAAAATGTATCTGAATTAATTTAAGCTTTCATAGTTTATTTTCTTGGGAATATTTTTCATTCCCATGACCTCATTTAGCAGAAGCAGTATTAAGCGTATTGTGTTTATAGGAATATCAGATTAATATGCAAATAGTTTTTTAAATGGGTGGGTTTTTTTTACTTAAAGCAAAAGAGATCAAGTTCATTTTGTAAAATTATGACTAAATAGGAAACATTTAAAAACATTAGCCTAAAACCAAAAAATCTGAAAACAAACTTAAGATAGATAAATAAAGCATTTCCATTAAACTAACTTTACATTGCCTTTACAAATATATCAGCACGTGTCCAAAATCGACATATACAAACATATTATATTATGTGATGGCCAGTCAATTTTTACCCCATGATAAGGCGCTTGTTACGGTTATATCGACCGTTTAATAGTAAGCTCCTGTTTGACTATCTTTACAACCTTATTATGACCTGATCGATATGGCAATCGTCTGGCTTTTATTTGAGCAAATTAGGTAGTCGCTTGCCACATTCTTAGCCCTAAGCATGGCATTGAGTAGTTTTCTTATAGCTCTGACGTTAGTGGGCTTGGCCCAGGGAGCAAGTTTGAGCCAGGACGAAAGGATACGCTATGACAACTACTCGGTGTATAAGGTCAAGTATGAAACTCAGGAACAGAGAAGTTTATTGAGAAAACTCGTGGAGGATCGAAAAAATGTAAGTTTCCTTTGTGTAATATCGTAAATGAAAGATGTTAAACACTTTTGATTTAGTTCAGACTTTGGCATGAAGCGAAGGATGAGTTGCACTTGATGATAAGTCCAGGGGCTTTAAGCGAACTTGAGTCTCAAATCCAGAGGACCAACATCAGCGCCAATCTGTTTATAAGTAATGTACAGGAGTGAGTAAAATCCAAATATTTATTGACAATGTGAGAGAAATCAAATGAATCCCGTTTAGGCTAATTGATTCGGAGGAAGATGCCAATCTTAGAGCTAGCAGAGATGGCTCCTTTGGTTGGACAAAGTACAATACGCTGGCGGAAATTTATGCATGGCTTGACGAAATTCTAGCTGCTTATCCTGTTATAACAGAAAGTTTTGTCTTGGGTCAATCGTTCGAAGGTCGCACTATTCGGGGCATTAAGATCTCCTACAAATCGAATAACCCAGGAGTGTTTATTGAGTCCAATATACATGCAAGGGAGTGGATTACCTCTGCCACAGCCACTTGGTTGATCAATGAGTTCCTTACCTCCACGGATGAACTGGTGAGGAATCTGGCCGAGAGTCACGACTGGTATATTGTTCCCGTGCTAAATGTGGACGGCTTTGTTTATACACATGAAAAGGTAGTGCCACATTTCTATTTTCATACTCTCTTTTATAAAAGAAAATGTATTTTACAGGACCGCATGTGGCGTAAAACCCGCCAACCATCCGATATTTCCACTTGCATTGGCGTCGATCCCAATCGCAATTACGACTCACATTGGATGGAGAACGGAGGTGCTTCTTCAAATCCCTGCGCTGAAGATTACGGTGGGCCGAATCCCTTTTCTGAGCCGGAAATTCAGGCCATGGCGGATTTTGTGAGCGGCATAAAAGACAAAATAAATGTGCTGCTGGCATTCCACTCGTACAGTCAGCTCCTGCTTTCTCCCTATGGACATACCTCCGAAGAGTTTCCACCCAATTTCGATGATTTAATGGACGTAGCTCAGGCTTTTGGTGATGCAGTTGAGAGTCTACCTTATGGAACTGTCTACAGATACGGCTCATCTGCGGGTATTCTTTGTAAGTTGATAAAATATCGATGAAATTGCATGTATATAATTTAATACTTTTAAAGATGCCGCTTCTGGAGCCACCATCGATTGGGCGTACAATGAACAAGGTGTGGATATTGCCTATACCATTGAATTTAGGGACACTGGTCGCTATGGATTTATCCTACCCCCGGTTCACATTCTTCCGAACGCAGAGGAGGCATTGATTGGTATTGCGGCTCTTTTAGATAAGTGTGAAGAGTTGGGTTATCTTAAGCTCAAAAACGCACAGTAATTTCTGGGAAATTCAATGTACAATAAAACAATAAAGATTAGCTGCAGATAATCACTTGGGTTGAGTTTCTTTAGCATTAAGCCAAGCAACACAATTTTAGTCGTTGTTCAAAATGCGTCTGCTTTGGTTGCTTGCCACGGTGGTGGCTCTAACAAGTGCTGGAATCCTTAAGGATGCTCCCAAGAAGCGCTATGAAAACTTCAGGGTATATAAGCTGACTATTCAGAACGAGTTCCAGTTGGCTGTTATCGAAAAAATCGCTGAGCTGTCGGAGAAGGTAAGTTTACCAGTGCTAGAAATCAGAATACCTAAGTCACGTAACGTTTTGCTGCTTAGTACAATATCTGGAAGGATTATGACGAGCATACCAAGCAGTTGGACATTATGGTTAGTCCCGAGGAGCTGAAGCACTTCCAAAATCTTATTATGTTCAATAATATTGGCAGTGAGCTAATGATCGAAAATGTCCAAGAGTAAGTAAAGGAATGTGACATTCCCTTGATTTACGGCCACTCGAGACGATAAGATCGCTCGATTAGCTGACCATTAGTTTGTGGTTATTTGGGGCCATAAAGATAACGATTGGATCACCTTTTAGGCGTATCGACGAAGAGCAAGTCACGGCTACTGCCGATGATGCCACCTTTGGATGGACGAAGTACTACGAGCTGGAGGAGATTGAGGCCTGGTTGGATCAAATAGTGGATGCATATCCCACGGTGACCGAGAAGTTCATTGTGGGCGAATCCTATGAAGGTCGCACCATTCAGGGCATTAAGATTTCGCACAAGACTGGCAATCCTGGCATTTTTATCGAGTCCAACATCCATGCTCGAGAGTGGATCACTTCGGCCAGTGCCACATGGTTCATCAATCAGCTATTGACCTCACAGGACGCCGAGGTGCGGAATTTGGCCGAGAGCTACGACTGGCACATTGTACCCGTCTTCAACGTAGATGGTTTTGTGCACTCACACGAAAAGGTGGGTACAAACTATGACTTACTGTTGGAATCTAAGGAAAATTTTTAAAAATATGATATATTCATTTAAATGTATATTACAAAACATTTCTAAACATATGTTTTTGAAATACAGGATCGTATGTGGCGCAAGACGCGTCAGCCACATGCTACAAATGCGTGCATTGGAGCTGATGCCAATCGGAACTTTAACTCCCATTGGCTGGAGAACAATGGAGCATCTAGCAATCCCTGCAGCGAGACCTTTGCCGGAGATACGCCTGAATCTGAACCAGAAGCCAAGGCCTTGGCCGAGTACCTGACCACCAACAAGGAAAAGTTTAATGTGTACATATCCTTCCACTCTTATGGACAGTATCTGCTTTCCCCTTACGGACACACCAAGGAGGAGTTCCCAGAGAACTATGCCGATATCTTAACTATTGGCAAGGCTTTTGCCGATGCCATCGAAGGACTCCCATACGGCACTGTCTATCAATATGGGTCTACTGCTGACGTGCTTTGTGAGTACTACAATATTTTGTATTCCATGGGTTAACAAATTAATATGAACCTTACTTAAATATTATTCCTTTGTGCAGATGTGGCCAGTGGATCCTCTGTAGACTGGGTGTTTAACGAACTGGACAAGAAGATCGGTTACACAATCGAATACCGAGATAAGGGTCGCTATGGATTTATCCTGCCACCTGTGCAGATTATTCCAAACTGTGAGGAGCTGATGGTTGGAATGCGGGCTTTGATTGAAAAGACCAAGGAGTTGGGTTACTTGTAGGGGCACAATTTATTTGATTCGAGTAAGCATTTACTCGTTTTCATTAAAATACCTCATATAAGAGGCCAGCAAATCGTCCATTTTGTAACCTTGGGTGGTGCTGCACAGCAGCTTCGAGGCTCCGATCATGTTACCAAACCGGATGTGGAAGTGGTTTTTGCCCGAGCTCCACATTCCCAATTGGGAGTACTCGTAGCTGCGAAGGATCTCTTTAGTTTGTGGATCCAACAGATGGAATCCAGAGCTGTTAATTGCTACTAAGAGCGATTCCGGTAGGCCATCCTCGTTTTGCTGTTTGACAACAAAGAAAGTGGAACCGAAACAAGAGAAATGGCAGAGTTCTTGGAGGAACAAAAGCTTGGCATGATCCTCAGTCAAATGATCGCGGTGGAGTTTGGGCAGGATTTGTTGCCTCCATTCAGCCACGGTTTGAAGAGGTATTAGATCTTCTGGTATTAAACGTGGCAGCACTTCCGGTAGTCTTTGCAAGCTCACATCATGATCCGCACTGTACACAAGACAAGCCAAATGCGAGGCCTGCTCGCAATCGATAGGATAATAGCCTTTTAGGTATTTGTGAAGCTCTTGGGGATAGCTGAAGATCACATCTCCATTTGGATCTTCCCCTGGAAGGTTGTTCAACCACAACTTTCTCATAAAGTGCAGTTGGTAGTGACCATCGGATATGGAACGCAGGGTCTTCTGCTGTTTTAACCAGTAAATAAGTTGAGTTATGAAATCAAAAACAAAGTCCTCTTCCGGCATGGCATACACTCTATCGCCGGTCTTCAAAAAAATACTATAGCCCACAAGTGACTTGAGTTCCAATCTTTGAGCTATATCCGCAATGAGCTCTGCTCCCCGGGTGTGTGATTCAATCTCGAAAGCTTCAACTGTATCATCGGGAAAATATATCTTGTGGTAGATGTGCAGGCAGCGCTGTTGAATGCCCTCAACCTCAATGAGATGTGGCGCTTGTTTTCGCTGTCCTTGGGCCAAGGAACGTTTCAACCGTTTGAGGCAGGCATCTGCAAGGGCATCGGCACGCATGCGCAACAGGATAATCAGTTCCCTCATAATCAGGACACTGGGAGACACCAAGCCCGTGGCCAAGTAAAGCAGGTCCCAGCCCCGCTTCTCGCTATCGCTGGATGGATTATTCGTTAGCTGCTTCATCAGCTGGCAATAGAGCTCATCACACAGAAGGGGATGCTGTAGAGCTGGCTGGAAGATGAGGTCCGTGTTTACAGGCAGATTGCTCTTTGCTATGTCACCCATGTACTTCAGGGGATATTAAAATAGAAAGTATTGATAGTTATAATAAATACAATACAACCATTAAGTCTTACCTTAAGTATGTGATGATGAATCACCAATGCTTGTTGGAAAAGTGGTGGTACTTTAACCACAGCTTTAAGCAGAGGTGCCTTCAGTGGTTCCGGAGAAAACTGCGAGAGGGAAGCCTTGTCAGAGCTGAAATAAAATGGAACATAATAAACATTCTGAAACCACCTTACGTTTCACAACTTACTCTAATGGCTCCCTGAAATGTGTCTCAGCCAGCTGAGAGATGATATGTTGACGACGACGGGAGTGATTCGCCCGAGGCGTTGGTTTTGGGGGTTCTTCAAATCTGCCCTCCCTGAAGATATCTTGTAGTTTATCGCTCGGCTTGGTGAGAGTGGCTAAAATGCGAACATTCCCTGCAGCAAAGTGACCCCAATGGCCATTAACACAGCCCCTATAGCAGTCTTTGGCATTGCCAGATAATAGCTGTGCACCCGTTACCCCTGCCTCGAATTCGATGAGGTCACCAGGGGATAGGATTAGGAAATCTTCTTGATCTCCCTCCAAGACCTGATCAATAGCAATTCCGAAGCTTGAACGCTGGCGGAGATTGTCCAGCATATAGTTTATCACCTCGTTGGCATCTTGAGCTGTACTGCACTGCAGTACAAAATTAACATGTTGGTAGGTCATTATATGCAGTTCATCATTGGCTTCCAATGTAACTTTCAGTAACTCGCCGAAACTACAGGAGGCCAGCACCTGTTCGGTTTCGTCTATAAGGAAAATCCCAGTGGAGTTGATGCCCAGCATCAGCTCATCACTTTGGAGTTTGGGTCCCTCTTTGCGAATCACTTCAAATAATCGAGAGTGTCTCATGGGCCAAGATAGGTGAGCAAATAGACAGATGTCCTCCTTGGCTCTCTTCTGGGGCTCTAATTGTAGGTCCTTCTGTTTTTCCTTTACATAAGAGCTCTTTTCATAGGTGGCTGCTATTAACCGACTCCAGTTATCGATGGCTCGTTCACCTGGAGCCAGAAGATCCCTGGGGACAAACGCAGTTATCTCAGCGGGTTTCAATCGAAAGATCTCACCCGGTCCATGTTCTATAAAACAGGCCAGTGCGCACACCATGGCAATGTCTTTCTCAGAGCGGCAACGATACTCTCCGCACTTTAAGCCATTCAAGATTTGCTTGTATATAAGCTGAGTGGCCTTTGGATCCACCGATGGATCATACCAAGTGGCAAACATTTCCTTGCGGAGGTAGAGTTTCCAAGGGGCATCCATCTGACGTTGCTCACACTCCGAAATAGCATCAAGGACGTGCTCGTGACCAGCTCCCAGTGGAACTAACTTCCCGTTCAGTGACATTACCAAGCCAAAGCCAAAGGTATCGGTAAGACCCAATCCGTGGCATAGTTGATGTACCGCCTCTCGAGAGGTACTTGCCGCGTCCACCTGCAACCTTCTCTGCTGTCCGTCCATCAGGTGAATGTCCAACTTGAGGGCCTGACGACCCTGGATAGCTTGTAGTTCAAATAGCGAGGGTGGCTGACAGCGGGATCCGTTCACCAGAGTTCGCTCCAATCGCTGAAAGCAGGGAATGGCCTGCAGTTGGGCGGTTCCCTGCTTCATGAAACTTCGCAAATGGGGCTCGAAATCGCTGCTGGGTGGAAAGCAGCTCAAGCAAAGCGAAAGGAGCAACCATCCACGGGAATAGGAGCTCCGACTGGGGTTAAGATATAACTGTTTGCAGATCTGGGCAAGGATTTCGTCCCTGCAATATAGAGTGGTTAAGTTTTATTCAGAAAATGGTCTTTCAACAACATACCTTAGGGTGTCCTTCAATATTCCATGCCCTATAATGAAGTGCAGTTTATCTAGGTGACTCCTGGGAACGTTAAGCCAATGTTGGTAGAATTCCTCGGCTTCCTTTTGACCTTTTCCCACAATTTTCGGGGATCGCCTTTGGGTTTGACGCACAAACAAACGTGGCTTATAAGAACCAGAAGTGCTTAAGAAGCTTGACATTTCTGTCATCAGGTTTTCATTGTCGTATAAGTTTAAAATGGGGGAAGAAACAATCTCCGGCATGTCACCCATGAAACGGAGGATGGTTAACCAAATGGCCTGAAAGCAAATAAGAGGTCTAGTATTTTATCGTCACATACTTTAAGCCACTCACCTTAGAAGCCATTTCATCAATAGGATGCTCATGCTTTAATAAGGATTGCTTCAGGGGTTTTCTTTCATGCTGCGCCGTGGCGCCTCCGCAGAAATAGGTGGAGGCATATTTCAGATAACTAAAGTCGGTGGTATCGATATTATTAGTCACTGGCTTCGGTAGGCGTATAGTATCGCCTGAAGAAATGTTATTAAATTTCCTCAATGCAGCCTGAAATGGAAATAAATATCAATTGTTTAATTACAGGGTAAACATAGGTTGACACACCCATACAAATTATATTCACTTTCCTAGTTTCACTCTCTTATACTGTGTACCAGCACACAGTTTATAATTCAGCCGTATTAATTATTTTGACAACTGTAATCTGAGTGCCACTTATCGAGAGGTGCTTTACTCGTAAGCTTTTATAAATATATACTGGTAGGTGAGGGTACTGCGACTGGTACGGGTATGCTGCACCCGAAGATATGCCGTCGCGATAAGGACGGCGGCGATTATTTACGATCCCGTTTTATTTCATTTATCATTGGGTATTTGTTTTAAACTTCTGCCGCCACCTGATAGCGATTGGTATTGGCCACGCTTCGAAAGCAAAACTGGGGTCTCACCTCTGGAATTTGTTTTGCCGCAATTTAGTTGCTGACTAAAGACGAAACGACATGGATCTGCGTTCTTAGAAATAGCTTGACCATTGCAAGTGGGGGAATTCTAGGAATTTTGAATAATAAAATTGTTTTGGTGGTGCGCAGCGGTTTGTTTTATTCAACTCTTCACGGACGACTCGGAAATCAGAACTATGGATTTGTTAATAGGTCAAGTATTATTGAAATTTGATTAAAAGTATGACATCCTAAGCATATTGGTGGGAGAGCTAAGGAAATTGGGTCATATATATGCTTCCTGATAATCTAATTTAATGGTCTAATAAAACTGCCCAAAATAAAAATAAAGAAACAAAGTGGTGCTCTTGAAAACCAAATCTACTTAGGTTTAACTTTAAAATTCACTTATAGAAATGTATGTTATTCAAATAGTAAATCCGAGTAAGTAATATAGTAAATCGGAGTAAGTAATAATAAGTTTTTAACATTTTAAAAAGTATAACAAAACTTTTTAAAAACTGTGAGTCAAAAATCTTTTAATGCGTCTTACTTTTTAAAACTTAAAAAATCAAGAAAGTTTCTAGGTCTTTTGATACAAATACTTTAATGGAAAATAAGGTCAGAAAGAAAAAAAAGCCAATCGCTTGTATGTCCTATCTATTGAATAGATTAAAATAAATTAATTTTCTACAAGATAACACTGCAATGCCCTTGTAAGCCATTTGGACAACTCATGTCCATTGTTCAAATTTCAATAAGTTAGTGCTGATGACTCAACCTGATTTAGGCCTTTTGGACTTTAATGGTGAACTGCAATCCCAAAGTGCGGATGTGATGTGGGACGCTTACTGGACTTGGACACAAAGCACAAAAGCTGGATCGGGGAATTCCACACGACCTCACAACCATACAACCACAACCAACGCAGACGATTAAACACACGAACAAAATCCGCATTTATATCTATAGATGCCTTAGAGGGTTTTTATTTACAGTGTTTAATAAATATGATTCACTAAAAAGTAGGGAAAATATAACAAAAAGCAATCACAAGCAAAGACATATGGTTTTATATACAAGCTGACATTAACCATACTTATGTATTAGATTTGTACATTAAAAAAAGGCGAATGGGTTTCCCAAACTCAAATAGGATTGTTCTAGAAGCCACAACCAACATAATTCGTTGGACTGAAGGAGAAACTCATAAAGTTGCACTGATCAGTACGATTGTTCCATTTTTTGGGAATACAATTTAAAATAAATAAATAGATCACGAATAAAAATATGGTATTTTGATGGACATTTAAGAAAGACATTTTAAAATATAAAGAAAATCATTTTACAAATGGAAATGAAAAATGAACCTTTTCTTTTTACATACTTATAAAAAATGTAAAATATAAGAAAAGTGTTATTTACTTTCTTCTTTAGGCCGCAATATGAGATAATAAAAAAAAATATTTATTTACAATATTTTTAGAACATATTTCAATGACAGGGGACAGAGGATCTGACCTTTTCTTGTCAATTTTTTGTATCCCTAAAGGAACGAATCCTACTGATCAGGACTAACCATTATCTAGTAGGTTTATTCTCCAGCACCAGCTATCCTAATATCAGCCATAGCTACATGTGTCTAGTTTGTTCGGGGCTGTTCCAGTCCCAGCCTGAGTCGCTACTAGAGGCGGGTCTGGTTGACAATCTTCCGAGGCGCCGCCTCATAATAGTTGACCGGGCGGGACAGGAGCTTGGTAGGGACATCTCTGCGCATGCGCAACGCCTCCTCAAACATCAGAGACTTCTCTTTGACATTCGGCCCCAAGGGACCACTCACGTCGGGCTCGTCGTTGAGAAACCGGAACACGTCGTCCACCATCTGCTTGGAGGACTCCACATCAATGGTTCCCCCAGGACTCTCGGGTATTACGTTGATCCTGGTGGTGGCACTGGCGGGCCGCGTTGCCAGTGGGGCAGCTGCTATCAGTGTGGTGGGCGGTGGTGGCAGGGACATTCGGGCCTGGAGGGTCGGAGCCTTGGGTGCCTCTTGCTTGATGGACCTGCCTCTCCTGGGCTGCTGCACTGCAGCCATGGCCACGGCGTTGCGAGTAGCTGCCTCGGCCTTGAGCCTTTGCTCTTCTTTCAATCGCTTCTCCTCCAGATCCTTTTGCTCCTTCTGCTTCTGCTCCTTAAGTTGCTTTAATCTTAGCACCTCTTCGGCTTCCTTTAGCTTGGCCAACTTCAGTAACTCCTCCTTCTTCATCTGCTGCTGTTTTCGATTCTCCAGCAACTTCTGCTGGAAATCTTTGCGCACCAGATAGCCACGACTCAAGGCCTGGAGTTTGATAGTTCGACATCGGACCATCGTGAACTTGGTGGTCAACTGCTGAGCAGCTATACAGGCTCCCAAGCGATGGAATCCCTGCCGCATTATCTGGTACTTACGACGCTGCAGACGACCCCGCCAATATCGCTGAACCGTGATAATGGCCTCGCGGTATCTCTTCAGATAGCGCCTGAACAGAACCCTCCTGATGCCTCGCTGTATGGTCACAATGCTCCTAAGCATCACTTGGGATCGCTGCAGTTCCAGACTGGCATCGTCGTCGTCCCTCAGGAAAAGCTTGGTTTTTCCATACTGACGATCAGAATCGGCGGGTAGAGCAACTTCACAGATCTGCCGTGCCACCGTACGGCAGTCGCATGTTTCGAGAGGACCTACAGGTGGCACCAGCAGGCGGTATCGCTCCACGAAGGCACGGTAGGCGTGGCGGATCGGGTAGCCCGCCCTTCGAATGCGAGCGGTCTCCATCATGCCCGAGTAGCGTAACTGTCGTACACACAGCTCCTTGTCAAAATTCTGAAAGAGTAAAAAGAAAAAAGATTAATTTCTATAAATGAACCTAATGCATAAATTATTAGAAAGAATAAATTTGTATATTCTAGTCCTGTTAAGTAAGAGAAGTTCAATACTTATTTTTAATCTATATGTTTAACTTTGTTAAATGGTCAAAAGATACGGGTTCCAACTTGTCGTTAAGTATAAGTGCAAGCACATTTTTTTATAATTTCGTACTTGATTTATTATATTGGGTTAAGTATAAATATAAGAACTTTTATTTAATTTCGTACTTGATTCATTAGATTAAGTTAAGTATAAATGTAAGCACTTTTATTGAATTTCGTACTTGATTAATTTCACTCACCTTTGGCTCCTTAAATTCATTTGGCTTGATGCATCGAATAAAGTATGGATGTGCCTGCGACAAAGTACGCATCAGCATGTCCAAAGAGTTCCTAAATTTCACGCACAAAGTGGGCTGCTTCTTGGCCGTATCCATGGGCATTTCATGAGGGAATATGTCCACCAAATATTTATTAGCAGATCGTTGAACCAAGGACCTCAGATCACCGCTGAAGGAATCGCGATTCTTTTCAAGGAAGCCCAATGGATTGTACATAACCACGCCGGCATAATGACGTATTCCAAAAAGCGAGGTTTGGGTGGTTTTTCCTTTCACGTAAATGGATCGATTGCCATGCTGAACATGGAGCTTTTCGAGTAGAGTTTGATCAGTGCCCTTGGGAAACTTGGACTCCTCATCAATAAGAGACATCAAATTCATGGGTTTCATGCCAATCAGATCCAGGATTTGTTGATTATCCTGAAACTCAATGTGCTGCCAATTGATGTGCTCGTTTTGGTACTCATCCTGCTCCATCTGAAGGATACATTGGGTAAGTAACTGCAGAGATACATTTGTAATTTATTCCTACCTTGAAGATATGTCCCACGAAAAACTGCTGTAGATTCTCATTGGCATAGTTGATGCACAGTTGCTCGAAGCTGTTATTGTCAAAGTTCTCGAAGCCGAAGATATCCAGAACACCTATGCTATTCATGGGCTGATCGACTTGTTTGTTTATAGTCTCATTGATCCTTCGCACAATGCGCACAAAAATGCCATCGTAGAGGGACTTCACAAAGGCGTCTCGTCCTTCAAGTGCCGCTTCTTTGGACAAACTGGTGGTCACATGCTCACCATGCACAAAGATCGTCCTTTGGGTGAGAGCCGCATTTAGAGGGGACACGGGTATTCCCAGTAACTGAGCAACTCTCTGTAGATTCGGAGTGTCGTCTATCTCAGCAGCTTCCAAATTGGCCACTTCCGTGGCCGTAAATCTCAGGTTACCCAGATGCAAAATGGCCGCCAGTAAACTGAGTATACTCCACACTTCCTCTGGCTTAAATGAAAGCACCTTCATGGCCGCCCTAATGTCGGCAAAATCCTTGGCATCTCCTTTGCCCGGCAACGTAAAGCATCCTCCTTGGGCCAAATAATGATACTGACTGGGCGACTGCTCCTGCAACTTTAGGCGCTCTCTTTCCGGAGCTGAAAGTCCCGCCAACATGCAGTAGAAAATGTGGTAATTGCGTTCTTCACGGCTCTGGAAAACAATGCGGGATTTTTCCAAAAGATACTGCTGGATTCTCGCTCCCTGAATGGCACCCTCTGGTGTGAATCTGATCTCGATATACTTTCCAAATCTCGACGAGTTATCATTCCGCACAGTTTTGGCATTGCCAAAGGCCTCCATAATCGGATTAGCCTCAATAATCTGCTGCTCGATCCATGAATGTTTGCCGCTTATTGCGGCCAGGTATTGCAGTATCAACTTGGTGCTCTCTGTTTTTCCAGCCCCTGATTCGCCACTAATGACCACACACTGATTCTCCTTAAGTCTTTGCAGTCTTTGAAAGGCATTGTCACTTATGGCAAAAATGTGGGGAGGTAGTTCAGCTAGGGACTTATTCCTGTAGAGCTGAATCTCCCGATTCGTGTAGATAGGCAGAATCTGGTAGGGATTGATGGCCACCAACATAGAGCCAGTGTAGGTCTAAAAACAACAAATTTTGCATTAAGAAATATAATCAATTAAATTCAATAAATAAACTCACATAAATTAGCTGCTGGGCATAGCGATTCTGCAGGTTCCTTAGTATAGTATACTCCTGTAAGTCTCCCAATGTGATCATATCCTCCACACCCTCCTGGGAGGTGATATGCATGGCCTTCAGGACATCGCCCGCTGGCACCCAAAACTGCTTGTTGCGATCATCGCACACCAAGGTCTGTGTTTTTTCCGTTCGCACAATTCGAGCGCCAAAAGGCACTGCGAATTCGCTGGAAGTGTTCTGCGGCTTCACCCACACGTACTCGCCCTGAATTGATAGCAAAACAAAATAACAGAGATTAGAGTCAAAGCGTCAATGGGATTATCTCTAAAATCAAACCTACTCCAACCCAAACAAGTACCCCTCAAAAAAAAATATTCATTAGTAAAATAGTAATGGGTCATATCACCAATTTTACAATTGACAACAACTGATATTACGGGCATTATTTTTCTTGGCGAGTTTATAAATATTGCAGTACAGTTCATAAACCGAACCTACAATAAGGTCTTAAAACTGGACAAAAGCTTATCTGTCCACATTAAATAAAGCTAATAATTTGGCCACCAGCTATCTCATTTCCTTTGATTCCGACTACAACGCCAAAAGTAAAAGATTTTGAAAAACTCGATAAGAAATCAACAATGAAGTCATATCGTTATAAAATAATTTACCTATGGGACCCCCTAAATATCCAAAGATATCTATGGGCTTTTATGGCTCTGCCACAAACAAACGAATATCGAATTGAAAAGTGTATTATTTTATGAACGGTATAAAGTTAGCTTTGTCTACTTTATATGCATCTTTTGTAGAAACAAACGATTTAAATATAGGTAATGAAAGCAAACGGTAGCCAATTTTGCAAATAAAAGTAGTTGTTGCCGGGCGCTATCTTATCAGGGGAATGTCGATATACAAAAAAAGGTTTTATCGGTATTTAAGAATCAAAGCACTACCAACAGAGTACATGAAACGGCAGCCGAACAGGTGATAATTGCCTAAAAAGGAAAAAGGTCACCATGAAGTGCGAACATTAAACTAAATAAAGTCTAAACGGAGTCGATAATAGCTCTTTTTGGGTATCTATCTAAAACGACCTTGCTTATCTTCTGTAAGATTAGATTATAGACCAATTTTCGTCTATTTAGCTGATGTCATCTATTATCTATTTCCAAAAAATGACTTGAACACCTGCTATAAAAGTCCGTTCTAATTTATATTTTAAAACTTTCCTTTCACCATAAATACTGATCGGCAATCAGAATTATTTACTAATCGAAATGTCAGACTATGAGATCACCCCAATAAACAATGACTCATTACAGTCACTAATCTAAAATATTTTAACAATTAGTGTGCTTATGGGTTTATAATAGTAATTCTTCGTAGAATTAGACCAAACAAACAGACGATAAGACGATTTAAACGCGGACAATACATTTCGTTATATGCAACATTGGATTTACTATATTCCAAAGCCTTTTATTGAGCTTTTCGTATCTCTTTTCCTTTCCAATCGATAATTGGCAAAGTATTTGATAAGCCAATTGGTGGGAGAGGAAAAATCCGGAATTTATAAAGAACTATTTTTAAGTTTATTTAGCAAATCAAACTTGAGACATTTTTGAGCTCGTGACGGACACAATCTGATGTTGGGCTACCTGGTCGTAAATACTTTATGCCCATAATCACGGGTATTACTACATTCCAATTAGCACACGTGTAGGCAAGTGTAGGTGATAAGGCGGGAAGTTTAAAATTAAAATGAGCCCCATGATATAAAGCAGAGCAGTGTGAAAAGGAATGTGATAAAACGATTCGGTTATCATAGTAATTTTCTGATAACCAGAGCGACTGGATGGGAAAAACTGCCACGACAACCAGGAAGTCACTTTATATACATACGTATAGTATAGCATTCTCACTTACATGTTGCCGCACAAATTCGGACATGGCTGAATTTTTATTTGGCTTGGCCAATTTCACTTCACCCCACAATTCACAGACACACGCGCCGTCGACGGTTCTTAATTGGCAAATATTTGCCCAAAGATTTCGGTTCTGTTGCCACAGCCGTTTTTAATCGAAGTTTTCTGTAGTTCTGTTCGGTTCGGAGTCTCGCAAACGTCTGAGCTCTGCTCAATGGGGCCCTCGAACGTTTTGGCTGGCGAAGTGAGTATTGCCAACTGTTATCTCGGCTGATAATGAATATTGAATGCTTTTTGGCAGCCCTTATCGCCTCGAAGTCCATATGGCGGCGCTCTCAGCCAAAGAAAAAAAAAGAATGCAAAATGAAAAGAAATGACTAGGACTGCGAACTTCATGCATTTTGCATACGTCATGATTATAATAAATCGATGGCTATCTCACGAATCGCTGCTTATCTGGTGATGAGCTGCACATTGGCTCATGTTGGCGTTCCACCGTAACTGACCCTGCCCATGAGTCATGTGATTGGTCATGTGTTTGAGGTATGGGTATGGATAACGCAAGCTAATGCCAATATAATGAAATCTGAAGTACCTGACTTTAAGGGGTTGTGACTACAGTCAAAAGCTAACACCATTTCATTGTGATTTGGGGGAATTACCTTTCTGTCTAGGTAAGTCTTTGGTTTTAAGTTACTTATTACTTATCTTTTTCATTTGGCTAGAACTCAATGAATTCTTTGAGGTTTTAAATTTCAATTCATAATATAGAAATGTATGCTGAGAAAATTAATTGATAAGATAACTATCTCATAAATATAAAACTGTGTGTGACTACTCCGAATTTATATATATAGTTTTAAAAATATATATTTTTTAGTTATGAAGTGACTTGCGCTTAATTTAAGTCCGTTTATATCGGTTTTATTTTCATTATAAAAGTTGTTTTTAATTTTCTTTTAGAGACAATATAGCTGACAATAAAATTGATTTATTATTTCAAATTGTTATAAGCTTAAGTAATAAATTAATAAAAAGTTTACTACGCAGTTTTAATTAATGATATAAACACAACAATCAGGTGTCATTTCAGAAACATTGATTCTTAGAACTATAAGCACGAAAATATCTTCGACACTTTGCTTTACTCCCACGAAATATTTTCGATTCCATAAATAAGATAATAAAGATTACAAGGTCCAACAGTTAAACATTTGCTGACTATTCGTCATTCACAGTGTATGGCTATCGGTCGATACGACAGCGCTTGTCATCTGCTTCGGTAATTTGTTAAGTATTATAATCATAATTGAATGGGTTTGTTTATTCAGCGACCAGTGGCAGCGATAAAATTAGTAGCAAATAAACAAAGTTAAATTCATGTTGAGTGCAACTGCCGACTTGCCCTTAACAAATAAAAAGCTTATGTCTTATTTAATCAATGGATTTTAGAATATTTGTTAATGAATTAACTCAGTTGTTACTTGCAAAAAAAGGAACCCATATTGCTCATACGACATGTGGCCGATTTCTGTTATGGTGTGTGCACTAAATACCGAACAGTAAATGTTGTTAAATAAGATAACATAATAAGAAGTCAGTAAGTCGTTTTAATTGTTTACTGAAATATTTTTTTTTTCTCAATAATAATAAACTTTATTATTACGTTTTGAATACATATTACATACAAGTATAATAAAAATATTCACTTATGCTGTCGCACTTAGGTAATAAATAATAAAATAGGTAAATAAAAATGGCAATATAATCAAATTTTATTATCACGTTTTGTTTTGCACTGTTTTCATTTTAAAAGTAATGGATGTAGAACAGATACAAATGAGAATAGGAGACAATAACAACTTTACAAGGAACCAACCATGTCCTACTTTTTAATGTATCTTTAAGTACTTGTAGGAGATTATCGCAGAACAAGTTCAGTTCACCTTTATCTCGTTAATACTCAATTTGGTTTGGTTTTGGCCCTCCTCTTGACTTTGTTGTTGGCCGCAACGTCATCGTTGCGAGTAGATTATTTTGTACGGCGATAAGCGAGGGAGCAGCTCCAAGTGGCTGTAATAAATTTCAGGTGCCCAGGGGGACGTCGAATGGCACGTGCCGAATGAAACACATCGGAAGACGCGAGTTTCTGCGGCATCGTGGGTGTGACTTTCCCGAGCGGAGAAATATGCGGCTGTCAATCCTGCCAGCTGCAGGCATTAATCCCCCTCGGCTTTTCTTCTTTTCCCAGCGAGTCCTTGGCGGAATGCAACGAACCCGCTTTGAAAGCTTGTGGAATGGGCAAAAGTCGCGCGTTAAAAGCGCAATTAGGATTATCCTGTGAGTGTGTTTAGCTGGAGCAACATGCGGACGAGCTGGGACAGCTAAGCCAGCTGAGCGAGCTCAGCTTTTGACCCAATTTTGGACTTCACTAGTTTAGAGACGGACACAACAAAGAAGAGCCCAAGATGGCTATACACTGTGAAATGTAATCAGTAGTGGATGTCGTTTAATTTTTTATATATTTAAATACATAAGAAAGAGTTACACTAATTAATAAAACATAACATTTAATTCCAACACTTGCACAAAAAAAATAGAGTAAACTTAAACCAAAAGTTTCTTGAGTTTGGCAAATTAATTATTTAAAACTTTAAGTAAAATTACTTTTTAACAAAATTTAGACCCTAACAAAACAAATTGATATACGTACAGAAATCGAGTTGGTTACCCAATTAACAAAAATTAGGAAAGGTCAAAGTTTGTTACGCTGAATAGTAAAGTGACAAATTTCTATTAAATCAATTAAGAAGTTCAGATTGCTCAGTTCTTGAGTTTTTTCCCTGTATGTAATAAAGAAAAAAGGCCGAGAACGACAGCAAAGACTTTTCACTTCTCTCTGACGTTCGCCGACTGCTGGCGGCACATAAAAATTCAATTAAAGTCGGCGGCGGCTGGCCAAAGGACATGGACAGAAGGCTAGTGTGCCGTCATAAATTCCACGCCGATAACGCGGCGTATGCGCAATGTCGTGCAATTTGTTTTGAGTTGCGAGGTGAACCCCAGCAATCATCGTCAGGCGAGCAATTAACAATGTTTGCCGTGTTGCTCAGATAGCAGCATCTCTTCCACCGCTGCCCTCACTCGTCGACACCGATAATTCAGTTGGCGATGTACCACCCACCAGTCATTGCGCCACCCCCTTCCACCCACCACCCACTCTCGAAGACATTGTTGACCTATATTTGGGCATCAATGAAACGCGAACAAAGCGAACTGGGAAACAACAAAGGCAGCGGCACAGGCAGCGCGTTTTCAATGCTATTGAGTAAGTTGAGTAAAAGCTCCCAGTAGCCGCTGGATAAAAGCTATCGCCGACACTCTTTTTGCGAAGCTTTGGGACTGGAAGAGAAAGCTGCCATCCTCTCTCAATCTAAAAAGTTACTTTTTAGAATAGATAACGTTATACCGTGATGGCGGAAACTTAAAATACTTGTTAGGAAAGTTACGAAGATATATTTTATTTCCCTTTTTCCCGATTGTTTCTATGGGAGCTATATAACATAGTGGGCCGATCCGGACCGTTCAGACTTATATACTACTTGCAACAGAAAGAAGATTTTTTGCAAAGTTGATGCAAGACAGACGGCAGACGGTCATAGCTAGATCGACTTGCCAGGTGAGGCTGATCAAGAATATATTGCCTTGCAAGTTTTGAACTTAAGCTGTATTCACTGACTTATATTCACACAATAGTTTACTTGAATTTTGCAACGTTTATAAAATAAATTATTATTTTTACTTAAACTGACAATAATTAAATAAGACTCAGACACATTTAAAAAAAAATGTAAGTTAGAAATAATAATGTAGTTTACGTCCCGTAAAATAAAGTATTTACCATTAACAAAAACATTTTGAATACGTATCTATAGGTCGCTCTTTAACCATTCAGAACAAATGTGAATTATGATATTATTGGTGTTGTTATTCTTAGAAAAAATTTAACTGAAAATACAAAAATTTTACCATCTGTAACTGCTCTAACCCGAGGTCCTTAACAAATAGTTAAAAACTCAAAAAAACTGTGATTAATAAACTCAAACAGCTGACTGACGTCGAACGGTTATCTACAAGATACAATCAGCCACTGGTGAAAGTCGAAGCTCCTGGAAGGGGTAATCAGCTGGACGAATCCAGAGAGAGCTGCTGCGGAACAAGTGACAGTGGAACACGCGAAGCCACCGAAATGGGAAAAAGGGTGTCAATGGAAGTCCACAAATGGAACTTTATAGATACACTCTCTCTTGATTTTCCACTCTCTTTGAGAAGGAAATGAAGGCGGCAAACGGTTGGCAGCTTTTCAATCCAGTTCGAGTCAGCCAGCGGAGTGGTCGTCTCTATTTTTCAGTGTATTTTTCACACGATTCTCTGGCGCGTCGCGAACTTAACGGTAGTCTTGAATTAAAAATTAAATAAAAATTACATCTGATTCGGAAAAATAAGACAGAAATTCAATTAACCAAAATTTGATTACATTTTCTGTTCACATTCGGCTGTCATTAGAAATGCCATAAATTATTTAAGGCATTTACTTTGATTCAGTTTGCTTGTGCTTTTGTTTGTTGGTTGTCCCACAAAAACAGAAATTGTTTGCCCTCCAGGAGGAACAACAACAACTACGAGCAGAGAACACGGAGAGCCGATGGACACCGAAATATCCGAATAGCAAACATACCGAAGACTAAAAACACCGAGCACCAAAAAAACCGAGAATCAGTCGCGTGAGAGCATCGTATCTGACCGGACCACATCGCATCTATGGGATCCATCCGCATCTGTAAGATACATCCGCATCTTTAAGATACATTCGCGAGTGCAAGCGGCAATATGTCAATTAACTAAATCCCTATCTAAGACCATCAATAAATCAGATAATCGTATACCGGTTAATAGGCACGCAGTACAGAGAAATAAGAAAATCAAGCTCAAAGCTCTTTTCACCTCTTCCTGGTTACAGGTGAGTTCTGTAGACTTAAAGTGGGGGATGGTGCTGGCCCTTTATGACCTATTTGAAAAGTGAAGGGCTTTAAATGCAATTATTCGGCAACCACAATGGATTTTGTATGTTAACGATAAAAGCCAGAACTAATTGGGAATTTATCTGGAAGTAATTGACACTGATTT